TTTTTTTCCGGGGAGGGGGTTGTCTCCTCCCTCACGATAAGCTCGAATCAGTCACAAAATGGGGGGCTGAATAAACTCTCGTGGAATGAGATTGGGGCCGATTTCTGGAAAAAGGAGGCATCTCCTGAGCTACTAACCTGCCAGACGCCGGTAAATGAGGATTTAGCGCGCCCATTTTCACATCTGACTTGGCTGATATATGTCACTATTTTTTTTTTTTTCAGGTATTGGTTGGAAATACTGTACCACTGGTAGCGCTGTTGCATCTTCCATCTTTCCTTGCTTCAACCGCAGATAAACCCGGTTCCTTAGCTCCAACTCTGCACTCTCTTTGCTCTAGCCTTAGTTGAGCCGAGCGAACCTGAGAAGAAATACACATAGTATAGCTATTTAGAGGAAGAGCCATGGAAAAGTGCATGCGATAAAGTTCAACCGCTGCTGAGTCCCCTAGAAGACAGCATATCCCATTCACTGGTAAATCTGAGCGTGCCTGTTGAGGGCAGAACCAGGAATATAATAGACGGCGTGGATACATCTGGGCACTCGATGACTTTATACTTTGATACGAGATAGTGGTGCCTTTCTAGCTTTAGCCTCCTTGATGCTAAAAGTAGGCATTTCGTCCCGGAATCACAGAGGAAGCCTTCCAATCAGATAATTGATTTCGGCATGCGAGATTCCCACATGGTGACTCACTCCGGTGGTAACCAGGCTCCAGGATATTTTAAAATACCACTGAGTGGCCGGGATCCGGAGTTCTCGTCGTTCTATAGTCACCAAGCGCTGTGAGCGCCGACCTGCGCTTTCCCCTGATTGTCTGTCATATAACATCACTCGAGTTTGTCTGTGACCACGGTTGATACGAGGATTTCTCAATGCCACGGGTGCTGCGTTGAAGTACTTTTCTTCTAGTCTCCATTGGAGTTCTAGGTAGAGTGGGTGGGTGGGTGACGTCCTGGCCCCCCCGACCGTTATATGACCGTCCTTTGTTGGCCTTGGATGGTACATATCCGGCTGCGAGTAATAGTGCAGAGAGAATATGTGTTGGGAGTGGTGAGGGTGCGAGGAGCCCGCGGGTGGCGGTCACAATTAGTTGGGCCCATATTCCCTCCCTCCCTCCCTGCCATTCACTATCATGTCATTGAAAAATTTCAATAAATAGGTTATTCATCTTTTGTTAGTGCACTGATCCTACCACTACTACAAGCCAACTCGAAATGCTACGGTATTATATACCAGCGGTAGGCGTTATGGTCTACAGAATCTCAAGATAATAGTAGAATGGAATCTTTGGTTTGTTGTCTGCCAAGAAAGTCCTTTTAGGAAGGGAATGAGAAGGAGTAGGTGTATTGTTCTAGAATGCACTGATAGTGGTTGAAATGACCTAAAATATGTCTCTGCACCCTCTGGATCACCGTAGTATTTCCGGTACCCGTATCTTTAGCACATGGAAGAAAGAACTCATGGGGAAACCATCAACTGCGTACTTGGAATTTAAGGGGACAGTCAACTGTCGGCAGAAACGTGGGGATCTCGAGCGACCCATCCTAGAGGCTGTAGAACAACACCCTAGGAGATCTGGGTCCTGGGACGTTCACCAGGATGAAGCTGCTATTATATTGAGTAAGTTTCCTGCTCTGGAGCCTCCTTACACTCAGTTGGGCCACTGCAAAGCCCCCCCACGTTCCGATCTATTGGTATATATCTACCCTGGTAGCTAACGCTTCAAAAGTACCCGTTGGCTCCAAAGGGCTATTTTATTTCTCCTCTCCCCCCCTCTCTCGGAGGGTACTCGGCATATACATATACAGACCCTATGAAGCGAAAAGTGATTATCGCCGTTGTGGTGTAACGGAATTGGGCACGGGCGGTGCGGTACACAAGCGCCGGAGAGGGGGGGGGGGGAGTACTAGTACAAGTGCTAGTGGCCCGGTCTCAACTAGAAAGCCCCTGCTTTTCTCAAAATCCAATAGACACAAACAAAGGCGTAACCATTAACGCGCCGACTCGCAAAGTCACAAATGGCGCCTCCCTCAGAGGATATATGGTACAGCTGTTAATATCCAACTAACTAGTAAGTTGAGATCTCACAGGAAGCCATGTTGATGAGGATACCGGTAGTTTACATACCGCAGTGAATCAGGAGCGCGTTCCGGATGCTGGAGAATTCCAGCATTCTTCTTCACGTTGTGGGGAAGGAAGGACAAAGTCGCATTACATACAGCACGGTGGGTCTTGGAGGAAGCATCACAAAGATAATGACTACTTACACATTGATCCAAGGACTTTTATCGTTGGTCGGGGGAGGCCTTATGGTTTTCAAACCTGGTGGAGGTAGGTAGCCTGTCACTCGACTTGCCATTTATGGAAATATTTCCGAGGGGAACGCTGAGGGAAGTCGACTGCTATGGCTTATCCCGATATGTGTGCTAACTTACTCACCATCGTCGCCTTTCCCTTTATATAATATCACATCTCTCCCCTTAATCATAGGATCATCCTAAACTCGGCGATTCAGAAGGTCCGCCCCAACCATAGGGATAGAAATGAAGTATGCTCAGAAGGATCACATACAGCAATCCGCACGCAATAGCTCGCCATCCCAGCTAACAACCTCAATCATTCACAAATCCTCACTCGCTTCTAAAATATATTCCCACCGGAAACTACGGCGCCAACAGGAAAAAAACCAAAAGCCTGGAATTATTATTTTCCAATATTCGCTTTAACTCTTTGGAGTTTCCCTAGAAAATTTCGCATGCTTTCTTTTTACATATATCCCCCTGGTCACTGGATCTGTGAATACACCTGTCCTCCCGCCGGGAGCTCTTGCACAAGAGCGCTTTTTCCCACTTTGCCCGGGCGTGAAGGGAACCGGAAATAACCAGTCAGGATAGCTCCCCGGCAACATGAAAAAAAGTGGAGGGACTTGCGGTCGGTCCCAACAGATAATTTCTCCTTACCTGCAAACTCTCTTAGAGCCCGCCATCCGCGGCGTAGGAGTAGCGCTCGCCGGAATCAAAGCGTTAACTCCGAAACTGCGTTTCCGCTTCTTTCCGATCGAGGCCGCCAGCAGAATTCGGGATCGCGCACAAGGTTGAGGGACCCGATCAGCAAGGCATGGGGGAGTCCGCCCCGCCCCCCACCATGGGAAAATACCACGTTAGCTGCACAAGCGCTGGGATTTCCCGCTCCTGGTTGCTAAGCGGAACTCAGGAGCGCTGGTTTGGCACTACCATAATCTACTCTACAACTCTTGGACTACGGATTGACATTGCAATATCAAACGACCAGCCGTGATTCACTCTACAACCTATCAATTGAGGATAAATTTCCCTAGAAATTTGATCAACCTCACTCCTCTTTCACTCTTATTTCCTTTCCCTTTCAATGTTTACCCACGCGGGGTGTTGATTCTCAAAAACACCTTATGTGGGGCCCAAGACATCGAAGGCATCACTCATCATCACTCGTGATTGCGGAAATACGATAATCACCCCCTAAAGATCACCATTCATTTTCACCGCCTTCGAAAACAAACTCTCCCAATATCCTTGCAAACCTCCGAGCAATCCCCCAATGCCCTACCCTCTTCAGCATATCCGTTAAAGCGCATAAATTCGCCTTCTCGATGACTCTTCGCCCGCTACCCGCGGCACCGAGTATTTTCTCCGTATCCACAGCCAGCATTTCCATTTCATCCCATTCCCTATCCATATTCCCCCCATCATCGAGTTGCGTAGCGAATTTCGTCCAGCAGTACCAGACCACCCCCGTGTGAAACAATGCACGGGGCACGTGGATGGCTGGCTCGGCGTCTAAGGGAGTGTTCGCTAGCTGTTTCTGCAAGAGGGTTCCATGGATCACGGCGCGTTTTGCCGATGGGGTTGATGCCCATCTCATCGCATACGCTACTTCCTCTTGAGCCGACGAAGGGGGATTGTTGACGTCACGTCCAATGGCAAGCTCCAACTTATTAATATCGACGAGCAAGTAAAGGAAGACCGCGTGCCATAAGGCCATAAGTGAGAATGTACAGGGCGGGGGCCCGTTAAAAGAAAGCTTTAGCGCATTTTGGTAATAGTGGTGCCATTGCATCAACGCTGCGCTCAACGAGGAGAACGTTTCTTGGGAGCGAAGATTCCCCAGCGATTGGGCGTCGCAAGCTGCTGCGTTGATGCTCAGAAGGGATATGTACAGTGTATACATACATGTATAATCGGCCGATACGACAGGTGGCACAGACACGACCACCGGACACGGACTTGCAACAGGCCACGACGGAAATATCCTATCAGAAAAGTCTTTGAAAGTCTTTATGGGGGCTGAAGCAACAGCGTTAGGATCCTGCGCGAGATAACGAGCCGCCCATATGCTAGCCGTGGGGGCTTCGAAAAGCTCGGTCGAGCAAGCGAGCGGCAGTATGTTGGCATGGTGGCGGAGAGCTGGCTCATGATGGAACATACTAGCTAACTCAACGTCATGAATATACAATCCGAGCGCCGTCCTATGAAACGTGAGCGAGCTTGCGCGAGGTCTTTCAGAAAAAATACTACCTCTTCGCCTCTTCGGCCCTCACCCATTGATGCCAAACCATCTCCAGGGCCTCGCCAGATAGCCCAGCGGGGGAGGGTATCGTCTTGTTTCGTTGGAACATTCCCGCCCTCCGTGCCCACTATTTTCAGTAAGCCTAGAGGCATTAGGTCAATGACCGTTACGGGAAAGAAACGTACCGAGATAACAGTCCCGTGGAAAGCGCTGATGATCGCTAGATGGCTCGGGGACTAGGCGTGTCAGAACCAAATCACACTAAATTGTGGGAAACTTACTCCTGAGAGCAAACCGTATGTCTGCCCGATTAGTGAAGCCTGTATCAAGGCTAACTCTTCCCCAGCCCCTCGTACAAGCCTTTTCTCCCACTATGAAAAGGTCAGTCCTGAAACACATTTGTCGAAGTGGGGGCAGAACGTACTGATGCGAGGACAACCTTATTAGTCCTTTCGAAGATCCTTTCTCCCTGATTCCGTGCGCTCGCAGATCCAATAAACAGGCTTCCAAGAGTGCATATATTAAGTAGCAAAATCGAATTCTCGGGGGTCGGCTTGAACGTCGCACGGTGCAAAATCGGTAGGAGAATACTACACTTTGTAAAATACATTTGCACGCACAGGTTCTATCACAAATTAACCCCAGTTTACCGAAAAATTGGTGAGAATAGTACCAGAAAGTCTACAGAGGGCAGCGGCTCTTCCGCCCATTTCGGCTTCATCTGGTTCGACAGTCTCTGTCGATATTGCTCATCGAGAGCACCTGAATTTTCATCTCCGGCATCCGTCATTTCACGATCAGGAGACATCAGCGAGGAGCTTCCAGGCCTCGAAGGCTCGTCGTGCTCTTCCGATGGATCCATGGAGGTAAACCACAATTTTGCTATGTTTGCCCTTGGGAGCTTAAACTCGACGGCAACTTGATCCTGACTTTCTTGTAGAGAAGGTGTTATAGTTGGGGGCAAAACAGATGAGACAGTATCATCATCCGCGTAGATATTAGTGTTGACACCCGACAACCCGGGAATAATCGAGGCGTTTAATGCTCCGAAATCAAAGCCCTGTCCGATCAGCCAGGAGGGTTCGGCAAACAAAGCCGGCGTCCATTGATCCCCTGAATCGAAACCGGGGTTTACGGTAGGGACAAGATTAATTTGCATCCCATCCTCATCCGTGACGAAAGGTGTGGAGCTAGGGTGGTGGGGGCTAGGATCATCTAGCGATGGGTCAACGAAGGATGGGGATGTATGAAGTCCGGGTAGAGTCCCTTGCGGGATGTTTTGTGGAGAGATTTCTAGGGTCGGATCTACAGGCTGCATGGACATGGGATCATGGTGCCTGGCGGGATCCGACAGCAGCCCACTTGGAGAATTAAAGTTCCCGGTCCCGCCGCCGCCATGATCGCCAGCCCCACCGCTGTGGCTATCGTAGCTACCAGCATTCTCGTGAAAGCTCGGAGAAATGGACGGCGAGTAGAAGCTCGCACCGGGTGCTGAACCCGGAGAAGGCTCTTCCGCTCTCTCCTCATCGAGATCCCCCGTACTAGTCAAATCAACGGATGAGTGAACTCCACTCCCTCCTCCTCCGTTGTGCGATTTCGAGTGTCGAAGCAATGTATCACTAAAGGATCAATCAGCAAATGCCAAGTCTCACAACTAGACAAACGGCGCAGCACGGTGGAGAACAAACAAAACTGGGAGACAAACTTTCTTGTGTACTTTTTTCCACAGGTCTGACACTGAAATGGACGATCCTTTGTGTGTGATCGCTCATGACGCTCGAGATGCTCTGTTTTGGAGAAGAGTTTGCCGCAGTAGTGGCATTTCCTCTCTTTAGCGACGCGCTGGCCGGTTCGCCTCATTTTTCCTCTATCCCGCAAACAGTTGACTTACGGATCCCTTTTTTGGCTATCCCTTTGCCTTTTCCTTTGCGGTGGGGAAGGATATCAACAATATTCTGCAGCGTCTTTCGAGTTTTCGATGATTTATTTTTTTGTCGGTCGAGAAAGTGGCGGGACTCAGCCCAGGTCTAATAGGAGCCAGCAAGGTGTGTAGAAGGTAGACAGAGGCTTCCCCACATCTCGACCTCTACATTCCTTTACAATGCCCCTCCCCTCTTCTGCTTCGCCGGTAAGGATAGGACTCTGGAGCAAGACTCAAAGATGAAGGGGTTAGGATATTTAGCGAACAAAGAATAGATCAAAGGAGTGGGTGTCCTTTCTAACCCTGAGGGTACCACTGCGGCAGTCCCCCTCCCAGGACCCCCTCAGTTCTCCCACCCGTTGATTCGATGGAAGGCAGAAACTCACGGGGCTATACTCTGGGTCGGGCCAAATCGAGTAACTTTATGATCCTGTACGAGACGGCCTCCCTGCTCCCAAGTGAATTCGGCTTGCAGAAATGGTTAACCCAGAGTACAATTATTTAAGCGATATCACTTAAAAAGGAGTCGGTAACTTACGGTGCAGCCGGGGAAGGATTATTTCGTGAGGGGTAAGATAGACTTGAAAGGTGTAAACGCGACAAAGTAATCATGTTGACTTTATTTATTTTTTTAAATCAGAGGGAACGAGGGAGGAAAGCACATCCGGTTGATATCCTTTAATGGTAGATGACGGTTACCAGCGTTGCCATTTCGCAAGGAATCCCTTGATAGAGCGTGTCGGGATGTCGGGGCAGACTGCAGTGCCGCAGCCAGCAGCACTCCTGTGACCAAGGCGGGCGATGGTGTAACAACGATGTAATTGATGGACCCGGAAAAGAGAGACATTCTCCGCACGTATACTACCGTACGGCACTCGCGCTGGAGGGGAATAAGAGGATTGGGATCGTCGGGGCTATTGGTATCCGGTACGACCCCGTATTCCAACGAAATAGGAATCTCAACAGCTCACATGGTTTCGGAGCTTGCTTTCAAGGATTCTCCACACAAATACACTTCTAGATCTGGAAAAAAGATCACCGTAAATCACTCGTCTTGACATTAATTCAAATTCCACCCTAACCCTGATGCATTTCTCCCAAGAGCAACACTCGTATGGTGCAGGTAACTATGGTATGTGCCATGAGGTGAAGGTAAATTGGATGTATGGTAGAGTATCATACCGGTATGGCTCCGGCACTGCGCCTGCATGCTGTGCCACACGCTACTCGAATACCGTACCGCACAACTATTGCCATGAATTAATAACCTTTAGAGTAAAAACCCAGTAACGGGCAGCACGGCGATCAAGTTACAAATACTAGTTCGCCCAATTGTTAACTCGACTACTAGTGAATACAACAGACGCACCAATCACCTTAAATATGACAATTTATAGTAGTACAAGCTAGAAAGACACCTTCCGCCCAAATACCTCCGCTAAGGCCAATCAGACACATCATTCATCCTTCAAAACCTTTCCAATCATCCCCGCAGCTTCCATCTATCCATCCCACCCTTCACATGTGGCAAAAGAAAACTTCCCCGGCCACGCAATGAGATACCCGGGTACGGTACCTCCTACCTGCGCATAACTCCTGCAGTGTAGTGGCTCCCTCAACCTGCACCTTCCTCCGCCGGAACAATCGTCACAGTCCCTTGTTCCCCACCAGGACGCTCCTCGGAACAGCGCGGCGTGCAGCTGGAGGTACCCTGGGCGATAAAAGCTGCCTCCTCAGCGAGCACTTCCCCAGACGAAGCTTCGTTAAGTCCCGCAAGGTCCTCGTTGAGGCTTCCACGTCGTCAATCGAACCTAGTAACGCCACTACTTGAAGCAATCCTTTCTAGGCAACCCTGAATATCGCCTCGTCGGCAGTTATATTCTCCCCCTCCAGCACCATCTGCTACAGGAACGCTCTAGATCTGCTGGAAACAACCACTGCCACCCAACAGCGGCAGGAACAGAATTCCCTTGGTCCAGCTGTATTTGACCACGCCCTCGGCTCGGGGCCCCGATTCTGGTGACGCGCCCGTGCCGGTCAGAGCCTTATCAACGAGAAATACAGCAAGTATTCCGGGTAAAACCTTGATCTTGATCGGCTCGTTGCAGAGATTTCCATTTTGGATGGCGGCTGCAAACGACTTTTCGGGTTGCTGTTTTGCCCCGAGTACTGTACCAGCCCTCGAATAGAGTTTCATGATTAAAAGCTGAAGCGGAGCGGCAAGCAAGGCTTAAACGCTGGGCGAGGGGTGATGCATCCCGGGAGCCGGATGCCATGCCTTGACCACCAACCACCGGTATGGGATTGTAAGTAATCACATAAAATGAGAGTTGGCGAATTACGTGGTGGAAAGACATGAGCGGCGTCTCCGTACAGTACTGTACCGTACAACCCCACCGACTGCTTATTACAACTTCCGGCAGCAAAAATAAACGGCCCTGGTGGATGGACATTGGTGCGGTCTTGAGGAAAACAAGCGTCGTCACTGGGTCTGGGGGCGTGCTAGCTACATTCGTTAAAAGAAGAAACGTACAGTACCCACCCGTATTTATTCCCATCATGCTTTAGGTGTGGCCCTACCATGTTCTACTCATTTTTCCATTCTGCCATCTTCACTTCATCTTCTCCTTCAAAGCGCCAGAGCCGGTCTTTACTCGGCCCCAATCGTCCAAAAACTGAGGATCTATCGGGGTTGAAAATGAACATGAAGTGTATGGGAAAGAAAGCATTGTAAACCCCCTCTGGAGTGAATCCCAATTTCCGAAGCGGAAAATCTGGATGTGTCTCTGGTGGGCGAAGAAAGATGTGTAAGTTCAGGGCGACCTACACAGCATTATACATGGTAGTAAACCTTTACCCGCACCTAGTCAGCAATTTAATCAAAATAGTCAGAGGAGAAAAATGCCATGCTTATCTGAGGACTCTAGTTTGACGCCCTTCGCCTCCAAATACATCTTCCTCTTGGATCCTGCTTTGCCATCTGGCCCCACTAGAAATTTACCTCTCAGATTTGTGCCCATGTCCATCACGAACGTAATGAGCTGCGATCACGAGTTCCGCAATCTCGTCAGCCCCAACCAGTCTGCAGCCACCCCTATTGGATCCTTCGATGACTCTCCTCAAAAAAATTTCCAACACTGGTTGCTTGTGTCGTGGGGATCCGGCGTGTCCGGTTCCACCTTCAAACTATAACGATATATTTAACGATAAGTCACGCTATTTTCTAAAACACGGGGGAAGGGGAAAAAAGGTACGACACAAGTACGAGAACCTACCGGAGCAAGATTAAACCTCGAAAAAGGGGAAGCGGTTAAATTATTTTTTCCTGGTATGAAATACTGTAGAGGCACTGCACCCCATTCCCTCTCGGATAGCCTAAACGTCTCCTTGTAAAGCCCCACTCCCTGTGATAAGTAGATCCCATCTCCATCTAGGGCAACCCAGCGCGGATCGGTTGCTATCTGGGTACCGGTATCCCTCTGAAGGGTGATTTTGCGAGGTGTGAGACTAGATCTGTAAATTATACGGGATGTCACACGGCCGATGGTTCAGCACTAATGATAATGATATCTACAAAGATAACGAGCAGGAAGGCCCCCCCTCAAAATTTGCTTCCTTTCAGCAGGTAATACTTTTGTGAACCCATCCGTTGGATAAACTCCGACAACCATCCAACACTCGACTTCTCTTCCCGTCATCGTTGGTTTATTTGTAGCTAATGGAGTAAATGACGGTCTCCAATTTAAAATTTCCCTATTTGTGGGTCATCCCCCCTCAAGGACCATAATACTCGAGAATTTCAAAAGACATCGGGATACCTTGGCGTCAAGTCTTGAATCAGCGCTTCTGGTGCGCCTCAGCACCAAGATTTCTGGCTACCTACCGGACCGGCGAGCACCTTCTACTACCTGTTCCAGGTATGGTTCTTGAGCACAGTGCTAACTTAGTGCCTGTGTCTTAGAATCTAGGATCCTTGACCGACCCTGTTGGATTTGTGCTGAGTGGGTATGAGTAAGGTTACATTAGTGACCGCAGTCCCGGACAGGCAGGGACCAGGAATGATATTCTCGAGTGATTGGGTGTGATGATATGCCAAGGGTTATAGTCATCAATGTCGAGTTCATCAGTTTTTCTTCTTCAGCTGAGGGTTATCAGGAGGAAGAAGCTTAGCTAGAGCTCTGTCGATAATTGTTCCTCGGAGACTCATTGGCAGAATGTATCAGTACTTGTTATGGTATCAGTACGGTATGTTTGTCATGGCCGGATTCCTAGAACTACTATACCATAAGTTATTGCAGTTGGCTCATTGGTGACCCCATTCCAGAGGAGCACCCCATGGGGTGAAATAACCACACAAGGCGCTACCTCTGACCACGGCGAGCGAATGCTGTATTCGCTTATTTGGAGGTTACATTTCTTACTAGGCCAACTTAGGATAGCGGGTGTTGCCGAGGAAAAAAGACCTTAAACACTTGTGGAACTGCCGTGCAGCATGAAAAGTCGGTAGATACAGTACCGGTACGGCGCCAGCAACTTCTGGCACCGGTACCCGTCCCGTAGGTGGCCGATGGGTGGACGATATCTAACTGGAAGAACCATTCCGAATAGCAAAGGTATTGGGTGCCCGGCGGTGTACCGGCACTCTGGGTGTATATCTCGCATCAGTCTCGCATACACATTCTCCTTTGGCAATATCTAATTTATTGACGCCGAACTAGTTTGCCCGCCGATAGTAACCTGTAGGGGTGCCAGTAGGTATGGCGAAACTTGGGTGGGACGTTCACACCACAACTGATATGGACACACCAGGCATTCCTAATACTTGGCCCATCCTACAATTTCCCAGAACACACGCTACAGCCCTCAACATCACCCCCTATCAAAGAGGCTTTATATTTATTATATTTGTACCTTTCATGAAGGTGTTCAGGCTGGAGAACCCGGAGGCGCAAGACGGGAGACCATCAATTCTGTTGTATATAAGATGTTCAAGTATTTATTCTCTAACTACAGTCGTTAATCATGCGACTATTATAAAACTTAGGATTTATGGTGGGTACTTTCTACGGAATGGTAAGGGAAAGGGTCTAGGAAATGCCAGAGGTATTGCTTCGGTGTAATGGATGGTACGAATATGTCTGGTTATGATACCTGCGGTACTCTAATCCGATACTTGGTGCATTAAGACCCTGGAAACGAAGAGACTCATATCGATGCATATAAACCTCGCCTATTCAGATGGGGGGCATGGTGCATTCTTGTTAGATCACGTGAAAAGGAGCGAAGAATGTGAGGTTATCTGAATGGAGCTTACGATTGGCCTCTAGAAGGTGAACCGAATGCAGGATCCTACTTAGCAAATGGAGCCACCTTCGTGCGCTGTATCTCCTATCTTGGCTCTATTGTATAATATCCGAGTAATACTCACCACCGGCCCCACCGACTTTTGTTACCTCCCTTCCCCCTCACTCCGCTTTTTGGTATTGTAGTGGGAGTAATCCTCCCCCCTGCTCGCTCCGCCGCCTATTTGGGTTTCTCGGTGCTGGAATAAGAGACGACGATCATCCCTTTTGGATCAGGGTATGGTTCCCTAGCCCTGCGGTGTAGATCACAGGCAGCTATCTTGTTTACGACATCCTAGCGTTCGGTAGTTACCGCATACGGGCTCGTTGTAGCAATTTAATATGCTAGTGGTATCCAAAGTTACAACGATGATTTTTCAGTAACTAGTAAACAGGGGACATCGCATAAGATTACCTTCTGGTGTTGGCTAATAGTGTCCTCACGTTTTGGGCAGCATATCTGAATGCGCCAGGGTAACGGGGGTAATGTGCAGAGGTTATGACGGATCTTGCAGATACCTCAAGAGCCTTGTGTTTAGCAGAGAGTCAAAGAAAAAGGGCGTGCCTCTAAAGTGTGCTACTATTTTTAAGATTTATTCTCTCCTCACATCCTATATCATTCCTAGGATCTAGTGGAGCACTGCTGAGCAGAATTCTATAGCAGTCACCAACCCCCCGACCTCCGTACCGTATCTGTCTGAAAGAAAGCGTTGTGCTCGAATATTGCGTGGAATCTACAAGCGTCATAAAGTACTCGTAATAGCAAGTCAACCTATACTAGTGCGGACGCCAAGCTTATATGAAATAACAAAGTGCGGTAAGCTAAGCCTCTGTTTTTCACGCTAACATTTGTAAGAGTTTCTTACTGTACGTGTGGACCGCATTATAAGCTAACTTTATCATACAGGAAGGCTTGAGAACGTTAGCGTGCCAAACAAGGCCCAAGTTTTTCTACTCCGTACAGTACTCGAGTACCGTACTCGTACATCTTCCGTTTTGAATATACAGCTACCATACCCAATCCAGAGCTAGTCGGACTTAAATTACGCCTCCCGACAGCCTTCCCCCAGACTTTCCCTTGCAGCGTACCGAAGTACCCGCGCTCGTGCGTCGTACCGTATTGGTCTTTCCCATCTCAAAGTTATGCGCGATGAAGCCATCGTACTTGTATCGTACCATCGCCTACGGAACACGGGTATATGGAGTATGCATCGTATAATACGGTATATGCGGGTAAGCTGAGGATATCCCGGTGATATACGTTAAATTTTAGGTGAATGCTATCAACAGAGGGGCTATAAGGCTTAGGGTGCAAAACTGCTTGTTTAAATGAGAGAATGTACTATAGTTGGGCTCCGCATTTGACTTGGGGTTTTCCGACGACTTGTGTAGTACCGGTACTGTACTCGTCCAGTGGGTTCAAACCATCACCTGACTAGCGGTACTGAAGGAAGGGGGCACTGGTTTTTAGGCCCCCCATCGAACCTTACAAATATGAGGTATGATAAAAACAAGGCACACCCAACTCTTACCATTTGCTCATCAGTTGAAAACCTCCCCTCGCTAACAACCCGCAGGTGAGCAAACAATACTCTTCACATTTTTCGCCTCATCTGTGATCTGTACAGCGACATCGATTCACGGCTATGGTGAATGACAGGATCCAGCGGGGGGCATACCTCTTGCGGCTCTGGGACACCGAGCGAGTCGCTACAAGTGCTTCCGCATATCCATCCGATACCAGATATAAAGATGTGAAAACGGAGAATAAAGATGAAGCTACGCTTCGGGAGCGCCAGATCTGGTGGATTGAGAGAGTACCCGGGGATGAAGAGAATGACGAACATTCCGAGAAGCAGAAATACACAATAACTCACTGCGGGAGTGAGCGGGGCTTGGTCAGGTCTGGGCAGAAGGCAACAGCATACAGAATGCATGGGAAGCCCGAGGAGCACTGGAACTTTGTGCCTGAGTCTTCCCACCCCCGACACTACCGGTAGGGCTGTTTTTTTCGCCTGTCTTGCAAAAGGACCCGACACTCACGTTTAATCTAGCACCTACTCCATTAGGGGAGACTCTAGTTCATCCCAACTAACGGCGTCTTCAGCCGATAAAACGGTAGAGCTGACCCTCGAGGCGGAGAGGGTTCCCCGAAAACTCCAGACATGGGAATTGATATTTCCCACACCCTCTATTCCAACTGGATGGTTCCGTGTGCGGAATGCTGCCACGGCCGCCGCTCTTGCCCACCGATTTACACACATACCCCCCTTCCTAATCCCCGAGAACGAACAACGGGCGGAAGAGCCATGCAACATGAGATGCTGTAACGGCAACTGTGATAAAGCCACACAGTGGACCCTGGCCCATGGCCAACTACATATTGACTCTCTATCAGGGGGGAACTCGACATCCAATCGTTACCTCTTAAAGAATCGGCTCACGGGGGGTTTCCTTGCGGATCGTGGTGGGCCGGAAGGCCCTGCTCAGGTCTCCTGCTGGAGCAAAACCCAGACCCAATGGATAGAGTCCGGTATTGCGGAAAGCTGTATCTGGGAGGTGCAGGCTGCGACCCCACCGGACATTTGGGAACTTCGGAATAGGGCGACCCGTCGTGTGCTTGCCGAAATTATCAACAATCAGTACGTTAGATGTGTGAACAGGCCAGAGTGGAGCCAACCTACCAGTTCACAATGGAGGGTCGAGTGAGTCGGTCCAATCTTGATAACCCGCTTAGATTATCTGTCCATAGCTTACTGACGATGATGCCTGTGGAAATAGTCCCCTTGATCACCATCCCCACATCGACCTGGTAAGTCGCTGAACCAGGGTTCATTTCCGGTATTATACATAGTATCATAGTAGAACAAATAAGTCTGACTAATGCATCAAAGCTAGATGACGAGCTGCCCCCCTACTTCTCCCCCTGAATTTAAGAAAAAGTCGGGGGGTCATAAGCACCCCAAACCGGGTAAGAAGTAAAACGTTTAGCCTCGATCTAATGTGGATATGATACTGTGGCGGACCGTTTTCCGCCAAATTTTTGCTAGACGCGATACCAAACGATCCGCTAGTTTTTGTCTTTTTTATTTTCTGGCTATGATATCTACTTGTACTAGCGTCTACTTTCAGATTCATTTTATCTTATTTTTTCTTCATCTTCCCCCCTCCCCCCCCACCATTCACAACCCCACCACCCCACCTCACAGAGCTCATTCACCAGATCTATCGAAAAGAAAATTTAATGCACCGTTTAGTCCCATTTATCCAGAGAGTTGTTTTGGACTGAAAGGGGGAAAAAAAACTTGCCCAATTTTCACAACGAGGCACTCGATCAACCCCGAGTCACAAATGTTAGAAGTGTTACCGCAATGTGATGAGTGGTACGGATATGTTGGGCCACATGTGACATGTGGAACTAGGAAATGACTGGAGTCATATTGATGTGTATCCATACTACAAATTGCTATGTATGGCGATCTGAGGTGGATCCGTAGAACAAGCGCTAAAGTTACTATCTTTCTCTTATTTTGATCGGTCCCACCACTTTGCACTTCAACTCCAAGCTCTTCTGCGTGACCTCCAACAACAAAAGCACAGATTGGGCGAGGAGGAGGAGGAGGAGGAGGAGGGACCCATTCAATTTACAACGCTTTCCCTTCCCGCCCCTCACCGGCCGTCCTGTTGACCCATCACTCCCTTTTTTAAAAAAATAAAAAATAAAAAATAAAAAAAATACCCATTCTGATATCGTGAAGGCTAAGATACCAAGTGATGAACTACCAGTATTATCCACAGACCAACAGAGACAGACAAGTCCATAGCGGATCGTACTGTACTGCACCAAGGCGATACAAGACCTTTACAGGATATCACGACCCCTTTCAACAGTGACATGCGCTAAAATCCCAATCTCATATTATTATTATTTTTTTCCAAGAGTGATGCGTCCTGTGATGCCGGGGGGTAAGATGGCCTACGGTTATACGGCATGTAAGATGGTATGCCGCTAGTGGGCCCTTTTTGTCTTTTCCCGGAATTGCTCGCAGTGGTCGTGGTGGGTAGGTCTGTTTCCCATGATCTCGTGCGTTTCTCTTTCGTGGAGTGCTGGTATCATGAATGTAAAGATTCGATAGGAATGAAAGCCCGGGGTAAGAAGTTCCGGGCTCTGTGACTGCAATATCCCTGACACCTTGTCTCGTCCGGGATAAATTCGTAGACCATCAATAAAAACTCCCCCGAAATTTATACTAGAATTAAATAACAACCCAACTCATTACTACAAACATTGAGACTGGAAGGGATCACTCCATTGGTATTAACCCAAGGGTATCTAGCCAACTCATATCATATCGATATATACATGTGATCTATTAAAATAAAACTCAAAAGAGGCAGTGAGAAAAAAAAGTAAATAGAACTCCCGTGACGCCGTAGGTACGATAAAAAGAAAAGGCCGCCGTAAACATAGAGATTCAGTAGGAAGCCCTGACCCCCCTCGTCCCTCGAACGCTCCCCAACTTCAACCGTTCCCTGACAAATCGGATCACAAGTCTTAATGCATCTTGAGCAACCCTATCACCCTTCCTTCTCATCCATAAAAAGACTAACCCCCAAAACACCGCCTCAATAACCAAATGCCGCCCAACGACGTAGATGGCCCACAGCACCCAATTCCGTAACCCCCCGCGTCTCTTCTGGGCACGCGCAGTCTCTAGCTGCTCTCTGAGAGCGGCTACCTCGGTTGCCATTTTGGCCAGTGCCTGTTCCACACGCCGTCGCCATTTACGATTAGTTCGGTGGTCGGTGTCTATGCCGGTATCCTCGTCGTCAAACTCGTCTTCGCCAAAGGGATTGGGGGAGACAAGGCCCAGGTGATGCTGCGAATCGCCGCCGAAATCGGGATATGAGCCAGAAGGCATCGGAATAAGAGCCGATGAGTGCTGAGCAAATGGGGAGGTAGATGAGGAAGGCGTTGAGAGGGAGGAAACATTTAACTTTATTTGTTCCCAAACAAATTCCAGCTCTGATACAAGCTCCCGTGCTTCGCTGGGAGGCTTAAATTAGTCTAAAGTAAGGAACCGAGGAAGACTTAGGGGCTTACGGAGTATTCGAGGCATATTTATGCATTGTCTGATGCATTCCATTAGCACTCGCCCTTCATCCCCACAGCCCAACCACCCCACCCCCCCCTACTCCCTACACCAAAAAAATGCGAGCAACGGACCGCAAACCTCTATCAGTGCCGTGATGTACTGCCTCTTCGCTTCAGTCTTGGAAAGCCCCGCCTGGTTATTCCATGCATCCCTAGAGGCTTCGTTAGCATAAACTTCATCCCCGCTCCCACGCGAAGGGAAGCCAAGCTAAACCATTTATCCTTTTCGGCCTTCGATTCATTCCCGTACCCTGATGGCCGTTCCATAACCCCGTTGACATTCCCCTCTGCCGGAAATCAGCGCCCGGGCCCAGAGCTCAAGCTACGAAACAACTCACCCATGCTCTGCTTGTAGAGTCCATACAGCTTCAGTCGGTCCTCAGGTGGCGGGCGTGCGGATCCGGTCTTGGGTATCTTCCGAACAGTCTGTAATGCGTGGGCGAATACTCGGTCTGCTTTCCGCGGTCCAAGGTCAACAAATTGGTACATGAGCAAATAGGGGGAAGCTAAGGTGACGTACCGACGGAGTCTGACATGGCCTCAGGAGGGCACAGGGTGATAACAACTTCTGCACTGTGGCCCAGGGCTATATTTCGACTGGCGGAATATTAAGGGTATAGGGACTGGGAGAAGAAGATCTACGATAGCATCAATCGCTCCCCTTGAGAAGCGCGGGGGAAGCACCCGGTGGGTGCCTCGGTTCGGCGTGTCAGAGGAACACACCTTACTAAGCAACTATTACCCGAAGTTCGTCATGAGAACCCACTCGAACGACAATGTATTGTGCATGGGATGGTAAACATTGGACCGCATTGTATTCATATCATACTATCTTAGGATAGAGTGACTTGACCATCGGAATTCGCATCCTGTTTACATAACTACTATTTGTCCCGGCTCTGTGACAGCGCCAAAATCCGACCGCGGGGCAATAGACCCAGCCCCCAGTTTATCCATATTTTCACCATTAATTTAAGTTAAGTTAAGCTTAACTTTTAATCAGCAGACATTTGAATCCTGGTTCAAGCCCCTTGCAAAATACATAACAATAAATAACTCCATCCCTACAGTAAATAACATAGATATCACCAACCGAAGTCCAAGCCCCGACCGGCGTCTTTATCCCAACCCTAATTCCTTGAGTCACTAGCCGAGGGCTTCCTGTGCCGCCATCCACTCTCGTTCTCGGCCCCCAGGTTGGCACTGGTAGCTCTCGAATCTCTCAATCCACTTGACCTCTTTGGCGAGTTGGCCTGCAACGGCGCGTATGTCTTCTTCTTGCTACTTCTAGGGCTGCTCTTGGGGCTCTCGATCTGGGAGTAGCGGGGCATATCGTGCGAATTTCTTGGGGAGTCGTTGAGCGAGATGGCGGAATATCTGGGGGCTTCCGACATCATTGAGGCACGGGGAGAAGCAGTGGATGCAGCTTGTGGGTACGAGAATCTCGTCGACTCCCTTGGAGAAGGAACATCTATGGGCGCAGGGTGGCGCGTTGCAGCGAAAGGAATAGATTTCTGGATTGAAATGGTTGAAGCTGAGATTCTCTTTGCAGGTTTGCGCGTAAGGCTTCCCTTGGGCTCTAAGAAAGGATTCATATCCGGGGGTAGATTCGCAAGACGTCGGAAAGTAAGGATGAGGTATATGGAAATCATCACGGATATAGCGGTCAGCCCACCGCTAACACAGGCATCGAGGAAGACCGCTAAGATTATCTTCTCGTCACCGCCATCCTTGGCGAAGATTGTGGCCCAGTCCATTTCGCTGCCCAGATTATGCTGCCTCCAGCTCAACACTGCGATGAACGAATAGAAGGATATTATTGCGAGGTCGACTGTCGCAGCGAATAGGTAGTACCCCACGGTCGAGGAGGGGGTGCGCACCCGGTACGATCCTGAGAGGTGGTATATTGAATAGACAATGTGGAATATTGCTACGGCCGGCTGAAATGGATCAATACAAATTTTCTCCAGATAGATGGGGGTTCGAAACTTACAGGTACACGGCATATCCACCCGGTCATATCGTCGATCTTCCTCACGAATAACATACAAATCAACAATCCCATAGCTCCAAGTAGTTGAAATATCCTCAAGACAATCGATGAGGCCCTCATCGCCTTTATCGCTCTCTTGGGAACCTTTGCATAACCCCTCTGCTGTGTCCTATTGTTTGACTGGTGCTGAAAATCGAGCTGGATGTATGGCGCCGTCATTTTCGGTCGTGGAGGTAGTGGCCGCGCAGCGGCCTCAGATATCCGCTTCGGATTGAAAGAGCGTAAACTCTCCGTCTCCGGATCGCTCGTGGCGAAAGGTAAGTAGGGCCGCTGAAGCTGTGGGGAGTGCATGGCATAGGGTACCGTATTTCTCTTGAGAGAGGATGGAAGAAATGTGGTTGGCAGGATCGCCCTCCCTGCAGGGTCATAATACTTTATTTAACTGGAGCAGTCGAGTGATTATGGGTTGTTTGTTATGGTACCTGGGCAGCCGGTTGCTACGGCGACGACGGTGGATAAATTATTATGCACTTTTTGCCAAGAACTGTACGAGTGCGGTGAGTTACGGATGGCAACCTGCTGTAGCGAACCCGTTTGGCGCAATTAATAGAAACAGTTGGAGCTGTAGGCTACCCGAGTGCAGTGTTGTGGAACCGCTGCTGTCGGGGACGGGACTCTCCGGACGCGGGCGTAGAAATACGGCGTGCTCTATTGGCACGTACAGTACTCGAGTAAGTTGCAAAGATGCCCCTACAGTAGAAATGGGTTCCTCGGATGCCCGCGGCTGGGCTCAGATGGCGACCCTTGGTAACTCACTTCCAATTCCAGATTACACGGCATTTCTCTTCTTTGCATCCCGGGGCGGCCGCCAATTTTGCCGACAGGAACAACGTTGCGGGAGGCCAGGCCTGACGTCACACACACCGCCTACTGGAAGAACTGGATATATATGGAAGCCCACTTCAGTAAGCGATTGCATATCTTGACGCAAGGCGCTGGCATTTATGTGTTACTACACTACCGGTATTTATGAGCCGGTGATGCCCCCGTTGGCACAGAGCACACCTAGCCTCGAGCGCCAGCTAGTCTATATAGGTCAACCTAGACTCCATAGACCCGCGACTGTCAAGATAAGAGCTCTGTATAAAAAGCGGTAGCAACCCCTTGGTCCTCATACAATGGTAGACTAATGTTACGATCCTCGACGATACCAGTAGTCTGTCGTCATCTTCCTGCCACCAGTTTCATCTCCTTATTTGACTATCCTCCGACGCTACGACCCAAGGAATGGGAACGCTTCACTCCGATGGCGCCAAGAGGAAGCTATATAACTATCATCCTTACTGCTGCTATCTGAGATGATTGATGAACGAATGTTCCTCCTCTGCTACAACTCATGTCTTTTCACAGGTAATGAATGGCTACGGGACCAAGAGTGATTTAACAAGATGGTATATCGAGCGAGCTGCTCGCCTATCCGGGATGCTCTCCTCAGGCCTTACGCCAAGATGGTTCTAGTCCTCACCCCGCATCGTATGCGATGCGGAGCGCTCTAGTTCTGGTTATATTGCAACCTTGTCTGGGCCGAACATGAAGGAATTGCATACATCACCGCAGCAACCGGGCATGGGGGGAACCAGCAATGTGTGGAGGATTGGGACCGTTTCCAAAGTCACCAGCTACAGGATTGGGAGGGTATGTAGATCCTCGCTAGGAGGCCAGTGGCCCTTGTCATATGTGTTAGGGATAGCAGGGTGTTAACCTAATTCTTCACCTCTGATCACTCGAAATTATCCCCGCCGTCCCTGCTGCTAGAGACTGTGGGGGTCAGCGAAAACCGGCTCAAAGAGTCCTTCCCTCTGCAAGAAGATAACCTGAGCTTGCGCTTATATGTCCTGTCTCCAGCATGTATGAGCGTGAAGGATTTTGGGAGTCGAATATTACCCTCGAACGAGCGACTGCAGCTGATAAGCTGCGCTGGGCGGGATGCACGTGTAGGAAGTAGGACCTCGGGCAACAAGTCTTAATCGGTATTTAAACTAGCTCAGTACAGGTAGATGTAGGGAGCGACTAGTAATATATAGATTTAAATGGGCTCCACTTCACCTGAATGCTGGCCCGCCCTGTATCAGAGCGCACTACCAGTATCTAGGGTATGAATGTTATTGGTTCTAGCGGTTCGCTACGACTTGTGGATACTAGGGACCAGCATGGGCGCACGGCGGGGAGACGCGAGACGTAAGAATAGGGTGTTGCGGGAGAGGATGAATGGGGTTAGAGCCTGACCAGGAATCATTACCGTAGAAGCCTGTCGGCGACGACCCATGACTCAACATCGAAGGGTTCTTCGGCAAGCCTTTTTTTTGAGTTTTGTGGCGCTAAACGGAATCGTGCAGTGTGATATAGAGCGAAGAGAGCGATATTAAAGGTATAACAAGCCATGAGACCCATGCTAGCCTTCCATTCATAGTCTGTAACCCTGCCGTCTATGTATTTAGAGTTCCTAAGGCGCCACAAGAGCTCCCGAGTTTGTACGGTACATCGTCCGCAAGCGATAAAACACTGAAAGGTGAGAAAAAGAAAGTAAAAAAATTCGCAAGGAGCGTGACTATAGCGTAAAATCGAATGCCGTGCCGGGTTAGGTGCGCTCGAATGGGCATCGCGAGAGGGCGCCTAAGCGGTCAACCTATTTACTACAACGACAGCTCTCTCTTCTCTCGCCCAGAACTTCCTGCCCTTATCTTTGACCTTCTCCCTTTTGCCGCCCTCAATTTCCACTCTTTCCACAATCCGCTCGCCTTCAATCTCTTTTACCTGCTTCGTCTCCCACCACACCTGACCCCCGGCCATCCCGGCAACGATGCATGCCAATGCGACGAATAGGCCGGTGCTCCAATTTGGTCGATTGTATCTATTCATTCCCCACATGAAGCCGCTCAGCACACATTGGAAGAAGGTGTTCCAAGCGTAAAGCCAAACGACATAATCCATCTTCCAACTTTTGGTTATAGGTGCGACTTGACCGGTGGTGGTATGGGTAGTATTCACACCACTAGGACCCCGAAACCAGCCCCCGTGGATGACCTCCAATTTGTGTAAGGCGTGCTTATCGGAAAAGAGGCGCCACCGGAGAAGGAAATATAAATCCCTGAACCGCCAAGGGACGAGGCCGAAACCTGTCACGCAGAAGAGCGCATTGAGAATTTGCGAATCAATTTCGATCCATATGCGGCGGGGGGAATTGATATCGTTGCAATCGGGGACGCACATGGCCGGTGCCGCGTTACAGAGGAGTAAGAATAGCATCCCGCCCCAGGCAACCACGTTGAGCATGTAAATTGTGACGAAGAAGCCCTATAAGGAGGGTTAGGAATTGGGAAGAAAACCTTTTGGAACATGATTACGGGGGCGAAAACGAACCGTTGGTGTTATAAAAAAGCTCCAGAGGACCTCCAGCCCGTTTAACGTAGTTTGCCACCAACCATGTTTGGCATCCTCCAGCTCGATACCGTCCTGCACCAGCATCTCGGCGCCCGGGCCATCTTCCTCCTTTGCTTCGATGCCATCCGCCGCACGCATCATTGGGGGAATTTCCCGGCTCTTTCTCCCAGCTTCCTCCTCGTCAATCGCAGCGGCTCTCAACCCTGCCTCAGCGCGCGGACCCGCCGCACCGGACGCACTACTTCTCCTCCCCCGGCTATTTCCGCTACCGATAGAGCTTCGTCGCAAGTCCTTCAGCGAAGGGGCGCGGGCAACAGCTTCGCCGGCTGCGGCTAATACACCGTAATGAGGATTCGCATCTAGTATCGATTGCGTAATGGAAGCTGTTCGTGTTCGCCTGATCGGGGGCTCCTCGGGCAGAAGGGAGACGGCGGCGGCAGCTGTTGAGGGTGAAGGTATCTCGGGTGGCGACGTCATGACGGTATCGCAGCTCGGTGCTGTTGCTGAACTGGAGAGCAAGCGGGCGGTATTATCGTGGTGTGGTGGAGTTAAGGTGAGAAGGGGAGAGATGTGGGAATGGCTTGCAAGTAAGGTGGAAGTAAGGTGGATCTCGCTTGGATTATCTCAAGTCATCGTCCCGGATGATGTTTACTTGCGGCGTAAAGGGTTACAATATGCAGCCGTTCTGAAAGAGCGTGTGCACGCGAGGGGGTACCGTACTCGAGTAACTTAAGGGTGGGACCTTACTGATTTCCCGGTGAAGGAGAGTGAGCGGGGATGCGCGAATTGTGGAGTTCCGGGTCCTTGTTTTGCATTTCGGCGATACCTCTCGTGATGCTATTCGTGCCGCGGTTGAGAGGTCCTAGATTAGTATGGTGAAATCCGGCACTCGAGTATTATTCATTTTTTCCCGTCCAATCCGCGACCTCATCCGCGACCCCAAAGCCACAGGAAGAATCATGGCAAGCGCCCTGGAGTGCTTCCCCGTGCAGTACTTTAGTGCCGAATATATTTTACTGACTGAAGCATGGCCCACAAAACCCCCCTCCCAATCAACAGAAAATCTCCCCCCCCTCACCTAGCCAACAAACGGTAAGTTACTTGTAAAAGGGCAATTCCTGACCCGTGAAGCCAAACCAGCATGTCTCAGAAAAGGGAATTTCATTCATACGAAAATTTATCCTGCTTCTTACAAAGTAGGAAATGAACCTCCTCATCAGATCCGTCCTCCTCTTCTTCTTAGTACTCTTCCCTGGCCTCACTCCAAGGCTAGGTCAAAAGTTGCAGGTTTCATTTTCTCACTAGCATATCACTGCGCAAGGTATTCAGTATTGTATTTCAGCATCTCGGCTACAGTGCCCGTACCCTTTCATATAACCACATGCTAGATCATCTGTTTGATTAAACCAGCATGCTTGTGTATTCAGATAATTCTGATTGGTTCTCATCTGATAAATTTACCCTGCTTTGAACTTATAAAGAGTCGTGAAGAGTCAGTATTCCCCGAAAGGTGGTCAATACTTACACCGGCGATGAGGTGGAGCCAAGAACTACCGTAACTGCAATGGGTATCATATTCATATACGAGTATACTTGTATATAAAGGGAGGGGAAGGAGGATCATCAAAACTATATTCAACTCCACGACGCCACCTTTTTTATCTCTATCATATCCACTGCTGGCGAAAGAGAAGCATAGGTTGGCTGGCGGGTCAAATCCCAAAATATCTATCATGCAGTAGGCGGATCGGGTATGATGGCGTATATATGCGGGGTCAAGTTCGACTCTAGATTTGGTTTACGCAACTGAACCAAACCGTTGCTGCCGCAGAGTACGAAAAAAACCACCCGCAAAAAGGTAAATGGATACAAAGTATGACGGGAAAAAAAAAATCCCGCCGTGAAAACCACACCCACTGCTTCCGTTGCGGAATAAGCGAACTGGGATAAATTACGGTACCGCACATACGTGCCCACGACACAAAGGCAATCAGCAAATCTCAGAATATAATGACACCGTTACATAACTTTCCATGCCTCTCGTAGCTAAACACGCCGAGGGCATCACATGTCCTTCAATTCCCCAATGCCCAATTGCATCCTCTGCAGCTTCAGCATCACAAATGCCACAGCTCTGTACACCACCATGACCACCGCCAATGCGACGAGGTTCCATTTTGGATCCACGTCAAGGCCATACAGCTGCAATGCCTGCTTGCCCGTCTCGATCGGGCAATTGCCACTAGGCAGGCGCTGTGATGGCGTACATGTGAAGGTGACGCCATCGAGCGAGTACGGTGTCAGGCTGCGAGTAGAGTACTTTAGTGGGCTGAGATTGTTGAAGGCTTCCAGCGGTGCTGGGACGTCGATGCTCATTATCCCGCTCATGAAGACTGCTATGCACAGGACTGTGCTTGTCACATTGACGCTGAAACCCGTGTGGCGGAAGAGCGTGTTGAAGAAGATCCCCAGTGACTCACCACAGGAGACGATGCAGAAGGTGTTGTAGGTCATTACATAGAACATCGTGATGGTGCGTGGGAGGCCGACGGCGAATACACAGAGGAGGGAGAAGAGATGTGCTGTTAGAATTGCGAAGGGGAGTTCGTTCGTCAGGTAGGCTAGGAAGAAGGGTGTCACGCCATAACTTCTGTCATCGTGTTCCCTGTAGAAGACATCTCGCTCAAGGGGGTAGAGGACGACATTTTGTAACATTCCTATTATGATATTAACCGGGATATGTGAAACTGATAATGGTGAGATATCTTACCAATAAAGTATAAAGGCATTATCTGTTGTATTAAACCAAGTCTATTCTGGACACTAAAGTAATCGTTCTTTAAGGGAGCAAAATATAACGTAATAACGACAGCCATCCCAACGACCTGCATGATTCTATCAATCACCAGCATCGGCTGCCTTCTAAGATTGAGCAGACCCCTGCTCACCAATATGGGGTAAGCAACAATGAATGACGCCCTTCCTCTCTTCATGCTGCCCAGCTCAGCTGGCAACGCAATCTCTCTCTCTGGTTCCTTGGAATGCAGGGCCTCCTTGTGGTCGAACCTTTCAATCAGCCCTTCAACAACCACTCGGGTGGCCGCTTCGCGATCAGACTGTTGAAGATCAACGGTGACAAGATCCAACGCAAAATCGGCAGGGTTCGTTGTGGAGGGGCACTCGTGAGATAGCGATGAAAAGTATGGAAGCATTCGATTAGCACGGCCAGAATATACAACATGCCCACCACGGGCAAGCAACATCACGTTGCCGAACTCCTTGAACAGATCCGAACGACTCTGGTGGATTGTCAAGATGATGGTTCGCCCTTCCTCTGCCAGCCCTTTTAGCACGCCCAATATCGATGCGGCTGTAAAGGCGTCCAGACCCGAAGTCGGCTCATCCAGCAACAGAATCTTAGGCTCCATCAAGATCTGCACAGCAATTGTGACTCTTCTCTTCTCACCGCCAGATATTCCCTTCAGAAACTCGCTCCCAATGGGGTTATCCGCACAATCCCTCAATCCCATCTTCGAAATCACATCATCTGCACGTCGTTTCTTTTCAGATTTGCTCATCGAGCTTGGGAGTCGAAGCTGGGCTGCATAATGAAGTGTCTCCCGCACCGTCAAAGAGGGGAATAACGCATCGTCATCTTGAGTGACATAGGAGCAAAGTGACCTGATCACCGTGTCCGAAGGCAAGGCACCATTGAAAAGCATTTTCCCAGAGCACTTGTAACGAGTTGAAACAGTGCTATGAAGCCGGCGTGCCATGAGATTAAGCAATGAACTCTAGAAATCATTAGCAATCTGGAACTTTCGCAGTAAACAATTACAATACCTTGCCGCTCCCAGAGGGACCCATTATGACGTTCAATTTTCCAGGCTCAAAGCGAGTGCTAACACCCTTTAATATCTGGAAATCCAAGCCCTTTTTCCCAATGATCTTGATATCCGGCTTCTCAACTTTCAGTCGAACGTTATCAAGAACAACCTCTATATCCCGAGTATCTCTCGACCCGTCCCCGGCAACCGCCAGCTTCTCCTTCCCCGCACTCGTGTCCTTCCCCTCTCGCGGTCTTGCACTGGAAACCGTGATGTCCACCGGCTTGAACTTGAGAAGCAATCCCGCAGCGAGATAGTAGAGGAGCGCCCAGCATACATTTATCACCACCGGTACCTTTACCCAGTCTCTTGGGAAATCCAGGGATTTGAGGACAAAATTTCCGACATACTCCAAACACCCGGGATTCTGAGCGGATGCGTCCAGGAGAGGACAAGCGAAGAACTTGTCAGTGAATTCGTTTGAGGTAAGTGCGCCAAACGAATACCAGGTGTAAGCAATGTACTTCGTCCACCTAACGTACACAGGCATAGTGGCAGCCTGAACAAAGTAGCCACATGCCATGCCCTGCACGGTGAACCAAAGATTGGCAATGAGCACTGCCTGCGAAAAGTCCCTGGTCATCCCAACACAAGTGGTAGCGACCGTAACAGCCAGATAATGTGCGATCAGTGTGACCGCAAAGAATATGAAGAACTGTCCGGCATCAGTATCAAACCCACACATGAAATAGAAGATCACCGAGAAGAAAAATGGCACCGAGATATCTTCCGGAAGCCTAGAGATTCGGCGGCTCGTGAGGAAACCGAGCACGCCTACGGCCCCCTCACCCCGTTCACGATCAAAAAGCTTGATATCGATTTCGGAAAGCCGATACGTTTCGAAGAGAAGAATAAGGTAGGTCTGAAGTGATGAGGCAATATAGAGAGCGCCCTGGCGAGACCTAATACCGGAGAGCGAGTGATCAAGTTGATAAAATATCCACCCAGCCACAATGGCCATGCTGATTGCTTCCCCGAGTGTTCCCGCGATGCCCAACGGATCACGGTAGGTAGTCTTGAGAGAACGCCGAGTGAGAACCGATATCTGCCTGGAGAGGGAAGGTGTGGTTATCACGACAGACGTAGCTGTGTTACCAGCTAACCCGCCCCCCCTATCCTTCTGTGACTTCCCCACAGTAGCGGTAATTTCACGGCTTAATACACCGGTTTCCCTCTCCCGCCAGCTATCGACAAGGCCCCTAACTCGGACGATGCTAGCTTCTTCTCCCTCCGGAGTTCTATAGTCTATGGCGGACAAATCGATGAGGAAATCGGCGGGATTAACGTGCTCGGGAAAGGGGTAACCAAGGGAAGTGAAATAAGAAAGCGCGTGATCCCTCTTTCCACTATACACCGGCTTTCCCTTCGTCAGCAACGTAATTCTATCAAACAAGCCCCATATTTCCGAGCGAGGTTGGTGTATGGTAGTGATGACGGTCCTCCCCCCTCTTGCCAGATTCTTCAGCGTACGAACTACCTGGTAGGCGCTTGTTGCATCCAGACCGGTAGTGGGTTCATCAAGAAACAACACGCTGGGATTGGAAAGTAGTTGTACACCAATGGAAACCCGTCGTTTTTCCCCTCCCGAACACCCTTTATGTTCATTATCCCCGATTCTAGTATCTGCACACTCTTTTAACCCTAACTCCAGAATCACCTCCTCCACGATTTTAGTGCGCTCCTCTTGAGTGAATTTTTCTGGCAGACGAAGTTCGGCGGAATATACAAGTGTCTCGCGCACGGTCAGAGTCGGGAGCAAAACGTCCTGCTGCATAACGTAGGCACATTGGGGATTTGAACTGCTGAATGTGGTTGCGCCCGCAATGCGTAAATTGCTGCCAGTCATCCGACCCGACATAAGGTTTAGCATGGAGGTCTAAACAGAAGACCAGTTAGTAAAGTAAAGCCATGACCAAGTTCAAATCAAGATTGATCACACAGTACCTTACCACCCCCACTGCCTCCGATAATGGCAACTAGTTCTCCAGCAGGCATGTCTGCGGATACATTATCGAGGATCTTGGTTTCCTCTATGCTTCCAGCCTCCTCATCGTTAGCATCCTTTTTGGGCAACAGCCCTCCCAGCCAGCCCATGGCTTTGTGCTGGCTAACAGCAATGGTCAAGTTCCGGACGGCCACATCAATTGCATGAACTTCATGAAAAGAAATGTGAGTTTCATGCTCCTGCCCTGATGCCGCCACCGCATCGGAGCCCCCATTTTGTGTACCAGGCTTATCCTCAAGAATACCGATGGTGAGATCGGAATCCTTACTCTCTATTTTCTCTCCCACCCCTTTCCCCGGGTCGAGTTTTTCCGGGTCAGACATCAGGGGTATCATGAAGAAACTCGCCCAGCCCTAAAATCGAGTAGCCTTTCGTTCTTTTAACTTCTCGGCTATAGGGAAATGCGGGCAAAATCCGGAAGATCACGGAAGGGGCAATTGCGGTAGTTAGGAACTATCTCGTTCTCGTGAATAGGGTAGGTCATGGAGAAGCATGCAGTGGCGAGGAAAAAGAACCCCAGATACGATACCGGGCAGAAGGGAGACGGCGGGCACAAAAAGTTAGGTGAAAGGGCGTAACGAGTAGGTAGACGAGTGAAGCCTCCTCCTCGCCCACACCCCATATCCACCTTCCTTTACTTCTTTCCTACCACTTCCCCGGCACCCCTTCACTCTAGTTACACCTCCTCCCCCGCTCCCCGTCTCCCCATAAAGTCAGGTCCCGGATTGGCTACAAGTGGTAATTCCATTTCTCAAAGAGGAGGTTAGGTCTAGGCCGAGCCACCAGTGTCGAGCGAGAAGTGACAATCCACTTCCCCACATAAGCCGAGTCGCGCGTGTAAATAGGGGAACGACCAGGGTGTAGGAGGGCGGGAAGGAAAAAAAATAAAATAAGAGACGGAAGGACCAAAACACGAAACCCGAAAGCCTCCCGGCCACTACGGGTTCCTGTCACTGTAGCCCGATCCCCTGATAACCCTTTCAATAAAAATATACTTTTGGTGCGAACTCGGACCCCTCCGTTTCCTCCTGCTCCCCACCCCCTTCCCCCCTTCGGTTACTGTCCTGGGAGCGTATTGGGCGCGCATGTACGAGTAATGGAGGGCGGAAAAGCCATCAGGGTAATACCGGTAGGCGCTGTGTTCTCGCGAACATGAACGGCTGAGCCCAGCCCGAACAAGGCAAACGGATTGATTCCGCGCGGAAGCGTGGAAGAGCTGTGGCTGATACAAAGCAGAAGGCTAAGGCGGGAACAAGCTTCTGGGGCAAGTTTGCCGCTCTCGGACGAGCGTGATAGTCGGTACCTCGAGTTCCGAAGCCCTAGCCTCCTCACCACCCCTCCGGACTACCGAAAAGAGAAACCGACGACAGTTAGGGCAGGGCCACCCCTAGTTGACCCAGAGCAGCCCATCCTTCCAATGCGTGAAAAACCGGAAACGAGAAGCGAAGAATGGCGGGCAAAGGACAAGCGGAAGGTGAGGAAGGAGAAAGCACGGAGAGGATGGGGGGGAGCAAGGAAATAAATAGCCTCCGATATTCCCACAGTGGTGGTTATGTTCCGCGGCACTTGCCGTTTGGTACGGAAGTTGCCGCATTGAGAGATCTGGTGTGCTGTTCTGACTCGCAGGGCCCCGACACTCCTGTTTCCCTTACTCGAGCACTCGTACGAATGGCAAGCCCTCCGAATCTTCAGTGTCGAGGGTGGCGGACATTGGGGACGGGAAAATGCAGCATTGGTTGGGCTTTACACCACCTTGTCGGAGGTGTTCCCCTACTATACTCGAGTGCAGCTGCGTTGGTGAACACCTCCACCCCGGCAAGGTATGCCCCCGCACACTGCAGACTGTACCGGTGTCCGAAGCGCGATTTCATCCTACAGGCGACACCTCCCTTGGTACCGCTCACGAAGGCACCGTTGCCACAGCACTGTACCGAGAAATGGAGACGAGTGTACGGGCAGAGCAGCGATAGTACGGAGCATGCCCTTGCCCTACCGCACCAATAGTGCCTGTCAACCCACCAGATGGTTACAGTATCACACGGTACAACTTTAAGTAGGACCGGGGGATCCGGGTTATGACGGCAGATCTGTGAGAGAGACTTCTATACAACGCGCAACGACTTCAACGTCCGCAAACCCTCTCACCGACCCTGCTGACAAGACTAAAGCGCTGCCATAGTTGTCACCGATGTCAAGCAAGAAGAGCTAAGCCATCACGGTCGAGGCACTCACGACAACCACACGCTTACGGCCACCCGTCAGAAACGATGTGCCCCCAGATGCTATGATACTCGAGTAACCCGAGCAAACGCCAAGCGCGATGCCGTACCCGAGCACGGTATCTGATGCCTTGCAAGACTGCCCTTTCCCCATTCACACTCCCCTGGACGTCATGCCATCCGCACTACCAAAAACCCGGTACCCACAACATCGATATCAGGGCAAACAGCCACAGCCCATCACCCAATGGGAGACATCGCAATCAACTGGACAGATTCCGCTCCCGCACAGCCCAGGTAACCAACCACAGCTACAAAATAAATAGATGAACGATACGCAGGCAAGAATCCCCCGACCATTGAACCCATCATCATCGTCATCAAGCTCCCTCGATCCGCCAGTCATCCTCGAAACGGCAGTGAATGGGTATTTCCAACTGGGGGTAGCTTGGATGACACCACATACCTTTATGGTATACAGCAGTAATATATAGTGTAGGATTGTGCCGCACTAGCACTCGTATAATAATAGAGACTTTGCGATTTCGCATCCAGAGTCAAATCCTAGCCATCTCACTAGCCCAGAACCCTGTTTGACCCACATCCAGAGTCTTTTCGCAAAGTCCCTAATATGAGAGAAGCCATTATCAGGAGCACCCGATTGTAGTCTGGAGTTAACCCTGGACCTTGCAGTGAGGAGTGGTGGCATCCCGTGCAGTGCCACAAAACCAGTGGCGCAGTAAGTTAGCAGCGCAGGATCAGAGCACGATATCCAGGCTTGCGCTCTGGTTCCCGGCATTCTGGAATCGTTCTTTATCTACCGGTAGTCACCAAATAGTCCACCCCACTCCGCCAGGCTAACAGCGGATTACGAGCACAATTGTGCGCGATGGCTATCGAACCCTTTGCTGTACTCGAGTAGAAAGCACGATCATATCACGCTGACGCCATACCAGACCAAACTCATTTGGACGCCGATGAGCCGGCCGGGGGGGAGATGAAGAAAAGCTCCCCATTGCACGAGTATGACATGACAATTTTCCGCACACCTACCCCGCACACTAAATATCGATCGTATGATGTATTGTGCTGAGGACATGCTGTATATATACCGCGCTCCCAGGGACCAAGTTCCGTCCGTCCTTGACCCCCCAAACAAACCCTTGGGCCCGTCTATCCAGTTCCCACACCGCACCAATAACCACGGGAAAAACTCCAATTACACTACCCCCCCCCCCAAGAAATTCCAAGACATCCAGCAACGGGAGGATAATCCATGGATGGCTGATTCCTTAAGCCCAGTCCAACAGTCCGCCAGTGCTCGAGTTCTCCCCATCCTTTATCCTAAATCTCCAAACGCAATTATGAGTAATCATCGGTCGGATGTGATGGTCTACCGGTATAACTTATAGAGGCAATGTTCAAACGTCAGGTTTTCAAACGACGGCCCTCTGACGTACCGTACCGTTAGACAAAACCAGGTTAAACGCGGAGAATAATTGCACGAGTACAAGCAGGATCTATAAGTAAAGGTCTGCTGGTACAGGTGTGGGGAGTGTTGTGACGTTCGTACTGTACCAGGACATGTCTCTCTTTATTCCGGGGGGGTTTTTTTTTGTCCTGCGGGACAAAACTTTATACATGTACGGGTACCGTGCCTCACCTCCCCCATTAAGGTATGGTAGACAGTAACACTAGAAACACCCTCTTTTTTCTTTTTTCTTTTTCACCGTCATTTCCGCTATCTATACGTGCGCTACCCTCATACTCGTACCGTACATTACCCGCGGGTGGCACAGTAACATACAAGTATACCATCACTCATATCAACGGCGAGAGCATTCTCCTACATCTACCGTACTGTACGAGTACGGTACAGTGCTACGGCAGTGCTAATACTCGTACAGCGCGGCATAACCATAATCCACACCCTAGGGGCGCTAGTACAGTACAGTAACAAAGCATAAGCCAGCACCCCTTCTTCGTCACCTACGGTACGATAGCTTTCGGGCGCTGTAACAGCACCTGCCCTCGAATACTGGTGCTGTAACGGCACACGGTGCACACGCAAGGCGACTCCCCTGTAGTCTACCATCGTAGTAAGTTACAAGCGCAGCACTCCCATAAGCGCTTAATGAATGGGATAGCAACGAATACCGTAGAGTACGGCAAATTGATAGGCGAGAGCCCCCCGGCTAAGACAGGATGGATACGGGAATGCCGAGATTACTCATCTCCCAAGTAGGCCAACCAAGCGAGGAATATATCATCACGGTCGTACCGGTACTGTAGAATACGGTGTGGAACGGGCATGGGTGCGAGTGAAGCGGTTCCGGAAACAGGTTAGTAGCACACAAACGGGTTTTGAGTCAGATGCAACTGTGCTCGTACAAAAGAGCCGGCCTGACAGATAGGGGGAAAGCTTTACCCTCGTGCAAATGGTACCTTGACCGATTCGTTGTCGAAATCCGTGCGGAAGCGGAGCACAAGAAGAGTGAGAAAAAAAGGGGCTTGGTATATAATTTTTTTTTACAAATACCATTATGCAGACGTAAAGAGGAGAGGATGGGTAGAGCTATGTGTGAAGGAGGAAGATGGATGATTGAGAGAGAGAGAGAGAGCAGTCGTTGCCGTCGGTTTTAGGGGAATTATAGTAGCGAGGCATAGTGTGTTCTACCGGTACCGTGCTCGCCCGTAATAATAGAGCAGAAGCTGGGGGGAAGAGGGTTCGCTCCAACAAAAAAAAGAAAAAAGGATAAAGAAAAAGAGCAATTGTGAGAAAGCGATAGGAAACCGCCTCAAGAAGCTAGGAAACAAAGAGGAGTGAGGTATGATGATTATGAATGGTAATGATAATAAAGAAGCTTTCCACCTCCTCAGGCCTTCCAACGTTCAACCTTGCGGGTGAACAAGCACTTCGGCTCCACCACTCCTGTGCCAGACAACAAGGAGCGTCCCGCATTGTCCGCAGCGATGCTGCACATCCTTCAGACTCGTCATCAAGTAAGGGATACACCCCAAGCACGCCACCACACAGGCCACGACCGCCCAGAGACTAGAATACGGCAGGCGGACCAGTTAGCGAACCCGGCGAAACGAGTGCACAAGTAAAATGGGGAAGCGCTCACTGAGTAGTGGAGCCAACCTCGTAAGAGATGCTCGTCAACCTTCGCTGCCCACAAATCGGACAATCCACGGGCGCGGAGGCCCTCGATAGCGCCGGAATCGGTGTCGCCTGCAAAAACTGTGGTCCACCTCCGCCCTGCTGCATCGGGATCGCTTGCTGTTGCGGGTACTGGTGCGGTGCCGCGGCGTAGTACTGTTGCTTCGGCTGCTCGCCCTGGTAGTATGGCGATGCGGTGGCGACCCCGTCCTGGGATGGGTATTGCTGCCCGACGCCCGGGTGTTGGTAGGCCGCGGTTGCGGGAGCCGCGTGTGGGTCGTAGACCGGTGCTGGAGTTTGGGATGTTGAGTACGACATTGCTGTTTTTTCGCGATTTTTCTTTAACCCGCAATTCACGATCGTCTGAGGGGTCCCGTCTCTTTTGGTGGCTGTTTGACCGAGGGAAGAGGTGGAGGAGGTAGGAAGCGAGAGGAGTTTTTTTTTCTTTTCTTTTCCTCCCGCCTTGGTGTCGGGACGAAGCTTTCTTTATACGTCGTGGTGTTGGCCGCGAAAGGGGTGCGGTGGTACAATGGCGCACCGGAGCCCGTGTGGAAGAGGTTGTTGCACAGTCTAGGCTATTTTCGTCCAAAAATGTCACAGAGTTCAACCGACGATTGGTGTGTGGGGGTTGAGACCTCGTTGGCGAGCTTATGGGGCTGGGTTGGTGGTTCCGTGCAGACGCTCAGAGACGCGGGAGGGCAATTCTTCTATCATAATATTATCATACATACCGTAGACCTTCCCACCTCCCAGCATAGAATTCCCCCGCTGTTCTCCGCTATCTTGAGTGGCCTGGGATAGGGTACGATAGCTAAGTTATCTTGCCCCTATGTATGTAATAACTGTGGATTTGGGGATCCGGTAGATACAACCAATGAGGCTGTGCACCACCGGCGCTCTTGTGCACGTGTTGGATGCACTGTTGACCATACGGTATGCGAATCGCAACTTTTCAACCACTAACAATTATCCACCCGCTTTACCATACCGTTCCGGTACCCCGAGCACGGTACAGTAGAAAGAACCCTAAAAGCACAGCCGGAACCGGATCTTCGTGATACTAGGGATCACGCGAGAAGGATATAAAAAATCTCTTCAACGGCCTCTTCCCCGCCAGGCTGTTCGGCCACTAAATGCTATGCGCTGTCGGGGAAGAGTGTACCGTGCGGGCACGAGTGCTCGAGTACAGTGAGGGATCCAACCTGTTGCTTCTTCCGCGAGCTCGAGACCGGCCCACGCAAGTGAGGCTGAAAGCCCTTTGTGCAAGACCGAGACGCCCCCCAGATTCGCCTTCCTCAATTCAAGCGCCTGACCAAAAATGACAGAATGCTGCGCTAGCACGGGTCACAGGCAAGGGATTCTCATCGTACAATCACCCTCTGAATCGATGCCATCGTACCCTTGCGTGCACTGCCCACTACCGGCAACTCCTCCTAAAGTCGCAACCCTTCCTTCACTTTTGCCACGCCAGTGTCCTTTGCAATGTCTGACCTTCTCTGAACTTCAGCCGTATTGTAAGGGGGAAATGTTCCCCGCCAAGGAGAAGGCCTAATGGTGGCTTGGGGCGCCGCAAGTTTGCAATTCTGGGGTTGGAAAAAACGTTTACCGGGATACGAGTTTTTCAAGTTCGACTTTTTGGTGTGTGAAATGCGGCTTTGCATTCAATTCTCGCAGACCCACTCGAGGCTTGGCATTCGAAGAAGGGTGTTTTAGACCGCTACCGTACCGTATTCCATACCACGCAGATCCGAACAGAGTAGCCAAAATTTGGTCGTGTGCAATGCTGTACGAGCGCCGCAGTAGCCGTGTTCGCAAACGTCAGCCCACTACTGATACGATTATGGCAGTGCACACCTCACAGAACCACAACAGATGACAGTCTACAGTACTTGTACCGATACCAGCGCCGTAGGGCAGAAGTGCTGACGCTTTTTGTATGGCACTTGGACTACGGACTGAGCTTTCTCCGGCATAGGCGGGGGTGAATTGGGTTGGAGGCGTAACACAACCACAGGATTCTTCACAACCCTCGTTGAAAGAAGCAAAGACTCGCGATTCCCCCCCCGCTCCCCGGGGCTCAAGGCTTCCTGAGGCACCCTCCACCGAACCAGCACAACTTGAAGTGTGATACAAGTACCGCAAAGTATTCTTCCAGCACCGTATCAATGGATAAAAACGCACACCTCATCCTCCCCAAACACCAGTGCGTACCCGAGTACTCGTAGCTGTAGTGCTGCACCGCTAGGGTGCTGGCATCTGCAGTCTGTATACCGGTGCAGTATCACATGAGTCGACGAAGCTTCTGCTTGTACCAGCATACTGGAGTGTGCCTGGGCTCCTACTGGTAGTTTGTCTGTCGCTTAGATTAGCTCAATCAGTAAACCTGGTGTGGCGCTGAACTCACGCTTTGTCTGGCTACCCCATTCTCCCGCCAAGGCAGCCCTGCTACGAGTAGACTCGGGCACCATACCGGTACCGATCCCTCTTCGAAATCTATTCTTGAACCGATCGGCTGACGGCCCTGATTGGTCCTGTGCTCGTACGAGTACGAGCACGTTGTGGGTGCAGTACCGGTACTCGTACTGTACTTGTATGATACCGGTACAGGTTCCATTGCCTTCAGGGCTAAACATACCCCACGATCGCTGGTTTCTGGGGGATGTGACCGGCCTTCATTTCTCCCTACGGGTACCGGCGCTGCTCTGCTCTTTCTCCCGCGGGAAGCCCAAGGGGAGAGTCAAGACAGCGATTCTTCCTGCAGTGCCGTACCGGTGCCGGTATTGATCCCGAGTTGTTTTTGGACCGCAACACGGCGTTGAGGTGTGTCCCGCGGACAGGGCACTCACAATTACCGTATGTCGTGGTGTTTGTAAAGACGAACTGCTATGACACACCACAAAAATTCTGGGGCTCTGGCCAACTTTCTCCTGCATGCAATTACGAGTACTAGTACCGGTACTGTCTTGTTTTCCGTACAGTACAAGTACCACCTGGACGGAGATACCCCGGCAGATGATGTTGCCTTAATCTAGACGACAACCCCTCACTCATCATCCAGATGCGTGTTCAATTGACCTATCACACTGCATGTATCACCAATTTAGTATCTTTCCAGCACCTTATCCCAGACATCGCACCGAGGCAAGCATGGGATCTTTCAATCGCGGTAGCTAGCGGCCCACCGTGCAATCCCAGCCCCCAGGTGCCGGTTTCTAGAGAAAACTGCGACTTGAACCGGTGGTGGCGAAGCACCGATACCTTGGTCTACACTCATGGTGCTGGTAAGTCTGTGCACGGTGAGGGTTGGAGATTGAGATATCATAGCGGTATGGCATGGTCAACACTGGATGCTGCTGCGCCTATATGCATATGCCACGCTTGAAGAGGTGTTGCGCGTCTGATTACGCCGTAAATTCCGCTTAAAATACTCCACGCGATTGGATCCCCCGACGCAAGCTCTTCTATCCCGGGTATACGAGTATTCTACTACGGTCCTAAGCAAAGTCACATCACCTCGCTCGCCCTTTGTTCCAGCTTCCATCTATCGTTTCATCCGCCTCTCTGTTCTGCCAGTATGCTAGGCATGCTTGGCATCGACCGCTTCCACTGCTTTGTTACCCGCAGTTAAGGCGCTCAGAGTCGATAGCGTCTCGCATTTGCGAGAGGGTAACCGTGGCTGTGAGATACGGTGACTGGAATACCGGCATATTCGGAATTTCGCCTTGCACCAATTGCAATGGCAGCTGTCGTACGAATACCTTGCCGGTAGGATAACTTGAGTCGGGCAGACTGGGGCAGGCGGTACCGTGAAGTGGCTTGGTGAACGAATCTACCCGCACTCGCTCATTGGTCCACTATTACGGCACGGCACTCGAGGGTTACAGTAGTTGGTTGCACAACCCTACCGCGGGCGAACGGAGCGTCGATCGTCGAGCTCTGCTGTAGAAGGAGATCTGGGCCTCCCGGGCCAATAGGGCATTGGCATTGCTAATGATAATAATCGCTATCATAATAGCGGGAGAGAGGTCCCTGTTGCGAATACCTACTCGAGCTCCGGAATCGGGCTTGGCGGAAGTCGCTGGATGGGACGATACTGTGCCATAGGCTACTCGTGTTGGGCTGACATTTGTGAATACGACCGCCATTGCATACCGTATCGCCAAACTTGGCTTCTTCTGATGGCTATGTTTAGTAGCCACCCATCAAGAGCTTCACCACAGATGTGGTGCAGTCAAGTAAACCCCGGGATCGGCCTTGGTAAGAAGCTGCAGCGCGGTCTGTGATACCATACGGTACTGCGGGTCACCACACTCGTGCTCGGGTACTGGACGAGTGCGTTAAGGGAGCGAGGCAAGGGGAAAAAAGCTAGGTTTTGGTGGTGCACATGCCCATGGTATGGCGCTCCGCCCGAGTAGGGTGGGAGGTTAACTGTGGTTCTCGAACTCGAGTACGAACAGTGTACGACGAACTGGTGCAAGTATCAGACGTGGTGTCTTCGATCCTGCTCGAGTGCACGACCACCGTATTCCCAGCGCAGCCACGTGGTAACCCAACTTAGCTGCAGTATTACAGAGGTTTGATGGAATGAGGCACCATACCGTACTCGAGCACTGTGGACCGCCGTGAGGATTGTGTGTCCTCCCCGATGCCGGTTTACGTAGTCTACTCGAGCATGCGCCCTCCATTCAAAAAAGCTATGATAAAAACCACCCTTGCAACCCTTATATAATCCCACGAGACCGCGACCACTCCCCCCCCACCTTCTTTCCTCCCTCGTTCCTCACCTTCACCCTTCTTCTTCACCTTCACGCCTCTCACCACCACGGCCCTTTACAACCCGAACAAAGCGAAGCAAACGCAGACGAAATGACAGGCCGCAAAATCACCCCTGCGGACCCGCCCGCAACCTCGAACGACCCCCCTCCCCCACCCTTCAGTGAAATCCAGCCACAGTCTCCTCCCCACACCGTAAATCCCGAAAAGCCCCCCATCGCACCCGAACCCCAACCGCAACCCCAGCCACAAGCACAGGTTCCAGCAAGCAATGGCGCTCCGGGAGTCTACGTGCACACAGTCTCCCTCCAATCACTAGCCCGCTCCCCCGCACCGGTTCATTGCCTCATCTGCGGCGCGCGCGGATTAACCGTCATCAGCTACGAGACGGGAAACACAACCCAGTATGCCCCGCTTCCCCCCTCCCCCTGCTTGCTAAACTAGTTGCTAATGATGGGGTAGCATGGCGGCACTCCTTCTCTGCTTCTGCATAGGCTTGGGATGCATCCCGTATATGTCCACTTTATTTAAAGACGTCGCGCATAGTTGTGGTAATTGCGGGACTGTGCTCGCTATCTGGCATCGGAGTGGGACGCCGGGAGGTGCGGAAGTGCTTGCCCATGCAATGGTGTCTGGACCACCGGCACCCGTAACGGGAGGGGTTAAGCATTGATGGGGGACGGTGTTTTTCACTCCATTTTTTCCTTGTTGTGCAAGTTTTCTTCTCCTTCTCCCCTTCTTTTCGCTCTTGCAAATTGTTATCATACCTTTTTTTTTAAAAAAATTTGCTTTTGGGCCGATTTTTTCTAGGGGTGGGAGTGCGGTGCTAGTAAAGTTAATTTGGGAACGACCTCATGGGTAGGGTCCGTAGGGATGGATGGATTGAGTCGTGTGGGTGAAATATGGTACCCTTTGTTGGGATTTGGCGTTTTTAACTGGGCTTTAGGAGCGAACGAATGTTAGTTTTTTGTCATCGCACAACGTTCCTCCTTTCGTGTCGTGTGACGCCTTGTTAGTTAGCCGCTACGATTACATCGGACGATAAAACTTCCCCTAGTCACTCGCTGCGATCTCATTCCTGGGGTTCATATATCGTAGCAAACACCATAGAACTCGGGGAGAGACTCAAAGAAAACAAAAAAGAACATGATCCACCGACTCCGCCGGGATCTAAAAACAACATCACCCCCAATCACTCCTGCTTCCTAACACAAACCTTCAAAAACTCCTCACCCTGAAACTCATACGCCCGCTCCGTAATCTTCTCCCAAACCTCGCAAGCCCTCTGCAAGTCCTCGATAGCCCACGAAAATCCGTTCCCGGCGGCGGAATCAGACGTGGCGCGTAAGGAGGCAGACACAAGCTCAAAATTCGTCTGCATGGTGCGGAAGCTGCTCTTGATGGACGTGCACACTTGCAGGAAGGGGTCGACAGCGGAGAGGATGCCATTGAACATGTGTTCCAATGACCCCGTTGTGACCTTGGCCCTCTCGAGGCCGGTCAGGCCGCTGTGGGTGGCGTTGATCTCATCGTCGAGGTTGTTGCGCTCACGGCGCTTGGCTTCGTACACTGACTGGATGCTGGCGACTGCCGTTGCGGTGGAGAGGAGGCCGAGGAGGGGATCTACGAACACTGTGGGCTGTTAGATTATGGTGGGAGGGAGGAGAGGGGGGCGTTACTATATCCCAGGCCGATAAGTGCGCGGTTTCTTTCTCGGTTGCGCTCGCTACGCTCTTCTTCCACCAAGGCGCGCTCGATCTCTAGGGCTTGTAACGCCGTCGACCTGTCTGCGGATTCTCTAGTTATGACGTTTTGGAGAGTAGATAGCTCCTCGGTGATTTCTTGAATTGTGGACCTCAGGTGTAGCGTTTCGGAACGTAGCTATATCCTCACCTCAAACGCTCAGCTTCTCACAACCCCACGCCACCCCATTGTATACGCGTTAGGGGGGGGGGGGGGGTTTCTACCAAGGTAAACTGCGCTAAAATGACCCCAATCTTTTCCTCCTTCATCTCCGCCTGGTTACTCAGTACCTTCAGCACCGTGACCGCAGCCCCTTTCCACCCCTCCCACTCCCGGCCTTGGCGCGCATCGACAGGTATTGCGTCTAGTCCATGCAACTGCGTCTTTAACCGCGGATACCATTGTCGCGCTTCCGTCGCGAATCCGATGATCGCGCCGGCGATGCTTGGGATCCTGCTGAAGGAGAGCTGGTACGACCTTGTCAGCGCCGCCGTGGAGACGAGTGTTTGCCCCGTTCTCGAGTATAGGTTCGATGCCGTTAGCGGGCTCAGGACGTCCGGGTAGAGGGTCTTGTAGGCCTCGTACGATTGTGGGAGGGCGGCTGTTGTCGTGATGTAGGTTTGCAGTGAGGCGTAGTCTGCTGCTGAGAGGGTTAGCAAGGGACTTGCCGGTTCTGCTTCTGTGGCTGATGCGGCTGGTAATGCTGAGGGTGTCCAGAGGAGGTTCTCTGCTGGCGTTGAGAAGGGAGTTTGCGAGCAGGGCTGGACTTCTGGGAAGTTCATTGTTTATCGGGGGCACCGTGCGGAATTGTTTGCTGGAGGAAGCGGTTGGGGACTTGCACTCGCTAGCTCGCAATAAGCCCCTCTCTTCTCGCTTGGTTATAATGCAGCATTGCGGGACACCCCCCGTTCATGAGACTTCCGGCAGCGAGGCTCCGAGTGATATTTAGTGCTCGGCTGATAGCTGTCTGGTTGGTCGACGAAAAGGGCTTTTGCACTTCGGCCTCTGATTCCGCTAGGCTACAACAACACTATGGCCCCCCACCGGAGGCATCCAATGATTAGCCTGCGCAGAATAAATGAATACGACCACGCCGAGTCAATGGGCGCTGAAATTTTAAAATTCCGATAGTCAAGTAACTCCTCTCCCGTCTTGTAATACTGTATAGAGAAAGTGACCACCCAGCGAGAACCACGTATCCAGCTAAACCGGGCTATCCAATGCTAGATAGACAGCAGGGATATCGTATCATGCCACCCCCACTGCTGTAGAAACTCGGCACCCCTGTTCCCGCCGTAGAGCCGGAAGGCAAGGGAGAGAGCAGGCTACCGTGCTATCAACGTCGATTTGTCTGTTTTCACGGATGGGTAGATTTTTTTCTATTCCATTTCAATAGATTCTGCTGGTCGTGGGCCGTGGCATCGGTTCAGTTCTCAACTGCGTGTAATACCACACTCGCCCTGTATCTCGGTTTCTTGCCCACCCTCCGATCACAAACAACAACAACAACCACCACGATGTCGAAGCTTCGAAAAATTGTCCGGACGACGCTATTCCCCCGCAAGAAGGACGACGGGATTGAGTTGGGGCGGGGGGGAAAGCCAAAGTTGTACTGTGGTAGTGGTGGTAATGATGGCGATAAGGTGCGTGTTAGGGTGGCAATAATGCCTTATTTCCCGGCTGTTGCTGTGTTGACGGGTATGACAGGAATTCGGGGAGCCGGTTTATGGGATGCACGTGTTGAATCCGGAACGTAAGGACGTGAATGTCGAGTACGCCCCCCTCCGCCTCCGTTCCCTTGGGGTCGTGATGACGATGGCGTCCGGGCGATAAAGGTGTTGCAGGAGGAGGAAGGAGGAGGAGGAGGAGGGTTGGCTAATCGGTTCTTGATAGTATAATTGCTGTGCACGGCCTCGGTGGTCATGCCTTCCACTCGTGGACTCATGAGCCAACGAATAAGATGTGGCTAAGGGACTTTCTCCCTCATCAGGTTCCCAGAGCACGCATCGCTACGTTCGGTTACGACGCTAGAGTGGCGGGGAGTCGTGCGGTGGTCGAGTCGCTGGATAGTGCGCAGAGCTTGCTGCTAGATGTCAAGTTGTTGAGATCTACGCCGGAGGTGTGTTGCTCTTTGCAGTTGGTTTGGGGCTTAAGCTGATTTTGTCCAGGAGCGAGAGAGGCCGCTGGTGCTTATTGGACATAGCCTTGGTGGGATAATTATCAAAAAGGTACCTTTCCCGTTCCCATGGCCAAGTGCATTGGTGGTGGTCTGACAATGCTTTAGGCTTTGGTAATTGCGCAACAGCGGGCCGACTCCCATTGTGTTCTTGATAAGTTGTGCTGTGCGGTATTCCTCGGTGTGCCGCACCTTGGCTCTTCGGTGGCGAATACCGCGGAGACTCTCGTTAGCATCGCCCAGTTATTCGGAGACTTTAATACAAGGCATCTGGAGGATCTTAAGAAGGAGTCGCCCTCTCTAAGAGATCTCGCACAGGCATTTGGTCAGCTCGAGGGGTTCAAGATTATTACCGTCACGGAAGGCACTGAGACGGTGATTCCTTTCACCAAAAAGTCCGTTCACGTAAGTTCTGTCCCGTGGCGGGGGCGAGGGCTTTGCTAATATTGATACCAGGTTGTCCCGCAGTCATCCGCCTCACTTCATATGGGGGCAAGGGAAACAGTGATATCGATAGATGGTGCGGATCACCACATGATATGCAAGTTCGGGGACAGTGGGGATGGGCAGTACAGCAGGATATGGAAGAGCATCAACCGGTTTCTCGCTGAATGGGAATCCAAATACCGGATACAAGTTAATAGACCACCGGCTCCACCTTCGCAAAACATAGAGGCACGCCAGACCGTAGGATTCCCGCCGGTCGGGTCCCCGGTCCCGTCTCCATCGGGATACACACCACCAATTACCCCGGAACAGGCCGAAGAGCTTTCGTTCTTGGCTCGGAGGAGAGCGCCCACACCTCCAATCGAACTAGATAACCTGATAGCTCGGCGCCCACTCTTGACATCATCCCGCACTTCCCCCCCCGCCCCGCCCCTCCTCCTCCGGGAACCAACCTACTCATTCTCCCTCTCTCGCTCCTCGACGCTTCCGGTGACTTCGTCTCCTTTCCCCCTAAGCCGGACGTCCACTGCATTAACCACGGCGTCGTCTTCATCCTCACCCACACCACAAACCCTGCACAAGGCGGTTCGCGAAAGAAACGTCTCGCTCGCAAAGCATGTATTGGAGCAAACCTTTGGAAATGACGTCAACTCTGCCAACGTCCAGGGCCGATATCCATTGTCCATTGCTGCGGCAATGGGCGATGAAGACCTCGTCCGGCTGCTTCTTTTCTGGGGCGCGGATGTCCACGCCCAGGATGACAGGGGGCGGACAGCACTTCATCGGGCAGCAGGGTGCGGGATGGCCGGGGTTGTTAAGATATTGTTGGAAAAAGGTGCGAATAGGGAGGTTGCAGATTTTACGGGAAGGACTGCTCTGGAGTGGACGGATAAGGAGGCTATTAAGGGGTTATTACTAGAGGAGCAATCTCCGGAGGAGGAGGTCGATTAAGAAAGTGTGGGTTACTTTTCTTTTTCTCGGTATGTCTTTCTCGGCCTTGCCCAAGCGGGGGCTCTTAGAATACGTCGGTGTTTGCATTTTTGAACTGTGAAAGGTATGGTACCTTTTGGCATTGCATTGGGGATGTCCCACGCCTTATTATAATGCGTCCTGCGGGCCTTTTCTCGGGGGGCCGGTAACGGGCGGCTAGTGGTCCGGGTGTGAGGGGCTGGGTGCGAAAGGCCTGGAAGCACCTTGACCGGCAGATGGGAAGCCGGGGGTATAATAGAATCGGTGTTTCCTGGTATTCCTTTATACAGTAATAAATCGTATTCTCTACCTATTACCGAGGACGCTCTCCGGAGACGGTACCATACAGAAATGTATAACTTTGACGGCCGCGTTCAACGGAGCAATCATGAGAGAGAGGGATCAAGTTAGTGGTTATATCCGCGGACAATGGAGGCAGGTCTGTCGCTAGGATCACGAAGGGTCACTCGACTTCTTGGTTGATCCGTTTGAAATCTGAAGTTCAACCCTTATAGCGCCTTGAATTATTTCAACAATCATAACAGTAACAGCGGTCAATATATACATGTTTACTAGTCCAGTGCAGCCTCCAGAGACACAACATATCATTCCATACTCATTCCCATGCCGATCCGGGTTCCCAAGATACCTGCCATTTCCCCGTTCTAATGAAACAAACATTCTGGTAACATTCCTGTTGCAATTCCCATAGCGATGCCGACCATCTCAATAGCCGCTCCACCTTGTCAAATAACAACTTCGGACCGGATATTGGAGGCAATGCTGAATGGATAGCAGGTGTTCTCAGGGTATCAAGAGCACTCGGGCGAGTGATGTCCCGGGACGTCACTGGCTGTTGGATGTTGGAGCCCGAATAGGTGATAAGGATGGAGTTGAAAAAAAAAAAAAAAAAAAAGTAAGGGGGACAAAAGGACGGATGTATCTAGGAAAATAGTGTTCGTCGGTACCCATGGGGTGCTTGCGCAGGGACCCCAGTTTACAATCTCAAGAAAGGAATATATATACGTATCGAAACCTGCCCTCTGCGCCCAAGCTATCCATTCGGTAGTATGTCGGGGGAAAAGGAATATTAGCAAAGCAAGAAGAGAAAATATATTGCGATGGTCACGGGGGTGGGGACTTGGGAGATTCACGCAACGACTGGGCGGAAAGTTGGTGATTGATTGTCATGTGTGAGTATTTTATTAATTAATGCTTCCACGACGGTATTAGCCATTCTCGTGCTGGATGCTAGGCAGGGCAAGGAAAGGTATTTTCAAGGGTGGGATCGTGGATATGTTGCTCCCTCATAGACAGGAAGCACTTTTGTGCTTAGGGGTGTAATTGAAATTGCAATATCAGCACAATGGAGGATCGATTTTCACCCCGCTTTTTTTGTTTTCCTCTCTCTAGCAGTTCTCCGGGGAGTAGTTTGAGGGTGGGTGTGGGGGGGAAGGTGGCGGGAACCAACAGCTGCTTTCTCCGTTCCTTTTCCATTTATTGGCAAAAACAAGCAATTGGTACGGGAGTGGTTTGAATGGATGAGGGAATGCCAAATGCCTGAGTGCTGGGAGCACTGCTGAGGGTCGGTGTTTCTGATTTTTGGACCACTCGGGTTTGTGCGTTCGGAGATGATCTCTGGTGTATTTTTGATCGGCCTCAGCATTACAAGGTTAGATAGATCCCAGGGCTACTTTCCGGTGAAAAGCTTTATCGCCGAGGTCTTGTGAACTCCATGGGATCGCACCCGCTGCTTTCTATCCTGCGTGCAAGTTGGTATTATGTGGCTTGGTCGCTGTGAGCTGCTCAGTTCGGAAGGGTATGATGGCTCTATACAGTCCTATAATGTCAAGCGCAGCAATTGGGAGTGGAACGGTGTTGATTGCCTTGGAGTGGGACTGAATGCTTTAGGGGATCGAAATAAGGAGAGGTCCGGGATGTTGGAGGGCTCAAAACTCTCTCTATTATCGTCAGATATAATGAATTCATGTGGGATTCTTGGGGTGGCGAGTGATCTTTCATGGACTCACGAAGCGGGATTTCTTTGGGCGTTACTATATACGGGCACCGAGTTCTGCTGATTGTGTATTGGCAAGAGAATGAGCCTGAGTTTTCACAAGAGGTTCTTGGAACCATACAGCCTTTTGTGATACTTTGCGGTCCCCATGCTCGGCTTTTGGAAAAGTAGCAAAATACACAACCGGAGCCATCACCATCCGTTGCCTGGAATCATCTGGACTCTGTGCGTTCTATCGTTTTATGAGTGTGAGGGAGTCTCCTTTGTCCTCGGCCATCAGGAATTGGTCCCATCTGGGCCTGGTTACCCTCGATGGGATAGACTCCTGGAGATTGTCAGACAGGTTCCGGGTGATGCTTGCGAGTTGCCCGATGCCGTGTGAAGAGGATGGGAGGGGTCTCTATCGGAAAGGAAGTTGAACTCCATGCAACTCCCCTCCCCCAGGAGCCAAACCATCTAATCTCCCACGAATCATGGAACCCCCGAATAAATACTAGTGCCTGACTGAGCTTCTCTGCTACCATTACATACTTGGCCGGGTTTTGCATCTCGTGTTATCAGGAATTATGCGCACTTGACCCTTTCTCGAGAAGCTGCAGTGAGCTGCGGAGGTGATTTATCGTGAAAGGGTAGGGGACCGGATGTTAAGGGCCACCTTCGCAAACCCTTCTACCAACTCCAGTACTAGAGAAGAGTCTTCGTGAGCTTTAGGATCTGAAATTACTACTCAAACTCAAGGGAGACAAAAAAAATCATCCTTTAGTCTTGGTTCTTGTTCTGTTTTTTCCCATCCCCTCTGCTTCTCCGCGAATTATAAACCTCACCCTAACCACAGGAGCGTGTATCTAGACTCTGATTCTACCACCCCATAGCAGGTCTTATTCTCACTACACCTTTATTCACTAAGGATAAGGTCTCCGGTTCCCCACCTCTCAACACGCCTCTTAGTTTTCCTACAAAAGCGATTGAAATATCCAATAATAACTCCTCTTTCAGGGGGACTAAAACCCTGGGTTCCTGCTAATTGCGTAGGGGTTGGTTGGTTCTTGATAGGTTAACCAATGCGCCAGCCGGAGATTTCACCTAATATTCCGTGGGTAGGAATTCTTCTCCCACATCTAGGTAGGTTTATACTGTACCCATTCTCCCGGGGTCAATATTAAGCACGGGGCGAACCATCAGGGTAGATACATCCTCAAGGTAATAGAAAAATTATGAACGCCCGTGTATCCAACCATGAAATCTCTTCCTGTGGAATATAATCACAGTTGGATCATCAATGATTGGGAAAGGTAGGGTCGGCTGTGAGCAACGCAGGATTGGAGAGCGGGGTTACGGATTACAGATTCAAGGCCCAAGAATGCGATAGAGGAACACAGTATCATACCGGTTTACCAGCAAGGGCCCACTCGAGACCCCGAGCACTGGTTTACACCTTCATGTATTGGCTCGCTATAGGGTTTTTGTTCACTTAGGTGTGATGGAATTCTGCGTTATAAGGAATTGAAGCATGACGTTTATGATAACCTGCAATCGTCTGTCATATCTATAAAGAGATATAAAAAAGTAAAGATCAGCCCCCCTCTTCTCCTTCTCTCGCTATCGACTCTTCACCGGATTGTAAAAGTCCGAACTCCGAGGATGCATCGCAGTCAACTCAATATGATTTCTGCCATCTTGCCACTTTATTTATTTCTCTTCCATCACCTCTGTTCTTTGTAGCTTTCTACCCATCCATATCCGCTCCCTATTTGTCTCTGACTTTTTCCTAGGGTGAAGGCTATAGCTTTTCATTTCATTATCTTTGTTTACTCCGATTTTGGTTACGATAGTCTCTGTATTATATAATATCATACTGGAATGAGAAGTCCCAGTTCCGTTGCCACTAAAAGCCCCATTTCGTCATCATTTACCGTCAATAAAACAATAATATTGTTAATAATATGCCAGCAGATATGGTCAGATTTGGCATAGAAAGATTTGAGGTTATCAGAATATGGAAATAAAAGTAGAATCTAGATTAGCACGAATAAATCTATCTTGGAGATCAAGTCACAGTAGGAAAGCCATGAAGATATACCCTCAACTGATTTTTCTTCTTTTCTTTACTGCAACATCCCACCGTTAAGAGAAGAATATAGAAAATAGCATCTAGAGATGTTTTAGCCCTTGGGCAGGTGATACTTCCAACCCCGCACGATAGCTCCATACATAGGATACAATTTGATGGCAAACCCGATTATAAGTCTTACATTTCTCGCTAGTAGAGGTGTTTCCCGCCAGGGTTTTAACGCAAGATGTTGTGATGCCCATTACGCCTATTTCTCTCAGCGCAGGCGAATTCTCGGCCACTCGACGAGCGCGTCGAGACTTGAGAAGAGCGGCCGCAGCCCCGGAGTCCCCCTAGAACCCCGAAATTGGAAACTTTTGAAGAAAGAAAAAGAAAAAAAAAAGAGCAATTGAATCGCGCCCTTTTATATGAGCCGCCATACGAATTTCGAGTGCCCAGCTGAATTTTCCAAGGTCTTCCGCGCAAAAAAGTTTGAGAGCGGGCGACCCCCGGGTCATTCGATTGTACGAATAACAAAATATTGATGCCTGGACTTCCCGGCTACCTGAATGCGTAATCCGTCGGGAATTCGTGACGGGGTTAACATGGTGCACTTGAGTTGCTCATGTTGGTCCTCTCCTTTTACCACTTTGCTGTGGGTTTGCGGTGTTACGGCGGGGCACAGTGCGACGAGGCCAATGATTTTTTGCCCGAGAACCAGGTCGTGATATTATACATTCACATTGCGACGGCAGCGACCTATGGTTCCTCCAAAACTTTTGACCCACGCTGCCTGGGATCACAAAACGGCTATACAATCGTCCCCGTGGAAAGGTCCTGCCATCAGTAGGAGTTTCCCGGATTGTCCACGGCACTCTAAAAAAATATCTCTATGGGAGTTGTGAAGTGGGAGATCCGCTTTTGTTCCAAAATGGGGGAGGGGGGGATGCCAAGATCTCCCACCTGCTGATTGTGCAGTATCAGACAACGCCGTGAAGTCAATCTTCATACCTAAATAATGAGATAGTGTGCTAGGTGTCGTGGTCCAAAATTTCCTTCTCTATAGAAGGTTCGGAAAGCACGGCAAAGAGGAGTGTCGCTCAGCCCGTTGGAGACTTGCAAAAGAAAAATAATCAGAATACCGGGCTCTACCGGAGGACGCGACCAGAACGACATGGCACATGCTGCAACCGTTCGAGACTCTACGGTATTCATTATAATGCGTCGACTCCAGAGCTGGGAATCACAAACACCCTTTCCTGATATCCACACCCTCCTCCATCACCCTCTCTGCAACAGCAGATATTCTTTCGCATCCCGTTTCGCCCAGCCGAAAAACACCTATTTGCCCTTTCTCTAAAGATACGCTCTCCTGTAGTCCAACACCCCATAACTAAGCGCTGCAAGGCGTTCACCTTACCATCCTCTAACCCATACGATTGACCAAAACCACGCTGCATCACAATATATCACTAGAAAGTAAGAAACAGCAACAAAACCCTCACGGGAAAAGGACAACAGGACAACAAACCAGTAACCCAAAACTCAGATATGATGCCAAGATAAACCGCCAGGTTCACCCATTGATCAAGGCGGAACGAGACGTAGGGATACGATACAGCGCACATACATACAGCATCCAACGCTTCCTCCAAAAACCCAAGGACCTCCTAGGAGGAGGACTATGCGGGAACAGAAGACACTGCGCATAATTTCCCGTCGATAATATAGACAATCCATCCAACCGGCACACCACCAACATACATACAGCAAGCTCGAGCACTCACCCCATCTCCCTTCACACTCTCAAACGCCCCACCCGGCCCAACCCCACTCCCAATGGAGGTGATCGGTAAATTGTCGCGATCACCTTCGTACCATTCCACAGCTCAGAGCTGCGTACTAGCACATATCCCCGGTAGTAGAAAGTCCGGACATGCCCTAGTAACATATCCAACTCGTACATACCCCTCCCGCCCCGTTCACCGCCCGATACGGATACGGAACGGGTCATTTATCGAAGGGTTGTATCCTGACTGAGTATCCGTTGTCAGCCCTTCTGCCAGATACAAGTCCGCTCCGCCCCCCCCCCCCCCTTCCGTTGGTGCCTGATTCAGCGTGAATTCTCGGGTGATAGCTCGTGATTCGGGTTATCGCCGATGCTTTCCGAGGGACGGTCCCAGTGCCCCGGGGCGGAAAGTTCGATGTGGCGATTGAAATTTCGGGGTTCGCGGTCAGGGGTGGGAGTTGGCGGGGGGGGGGGGAGGGTTCAAGGCGGTCTGGTCCGCGCTGTTGGTATATAGTGCTTTGCATGAACGTGGGAAGTGGAAAGGCTTGTGCGTGCATTATGGTTAGTAAACAAGGGAGTACGGTAGGTGTATCGAGGGCAGGGAGGGAGGGTGCGCCCGTGAGTTGGCTCTCTGGGAATGTGTTGTGGACTCCGGTGGATTGCCACTTGGGGGGTGGGGAGGGGGGGGTTATAGAATTGGAGTTTATTATTAATTTACCCCTCGTGTTCACTATTCAGCTGCGATTGATCGTCGGTGGCCATGAATTAGTCCGTGCGCGGGTGCTCAACAAGACAGGTTGCTACTCAATCATAGCTGTTCCTCTCCCAATCAGATATCTAACCATCTCGACGAGAGGACATCTAGACCTGTAGGAAAATCACGATTACAACCCTGCAGATTTTGGTGGACTGCTCAAATCAGCAATTAGTAACACTGCCTACATGCACGGCACCACATGAGAAAGAATACATGCTTCAAGCGCCGGAAACCGACCAATCTGCAGTACACCTTCTACCCCGCAGCCTGTCATTACCACTCCCGCCGCAACCCGGCATTCAACCGCATCAATATTGTTCCCGAAACTGCAAGCCGACCCATCGGACTATGCTCCGGCTCTCCCGAAGTCACTATTGGTATCCCGCTTCGCCTTTACCCGTAGAGTTCAGTTCAGTTCAGTTCAGCTCGCCGCAGATGGTTTCTACCGTTGATACCGAGATGCCCAGATGGCCTCGCATCCCACCCTGCCATCTTAATCATGCTATGATACCTGCCTACCCACAATGCGGGCCCACACACGCCCATCATCCCGCACAAAAACATCGCGACAACTCTGTAACCCCCGACACCGACACCGTCGCCACCACCACAAAACTCACCGCGAGAGCACAGAATCATACCCCTCACCGTACCACCAACCATCAGGATCAAAAAGCAAAAGCAAACAGCTTACTCCAGAGTGATCGGTCATGAAGCCGAAGTGTAAGACACTCCAGGCGCACACTAATAAAAAATAATACACCGCATGCTCGTAGCTATTGGTTGGATTGGGCTGGGCACCGTATGTAGCACGGTACACGTACTTAGCCGGAAGAGCCGGTCGGTGGTAGTTGCCGGAGGGAAGAGAGGAAGAAAGAAAGTAGGGTAGGGGAGGTAATTGCGGTGTCTTGGGTGCGGTGAGGTGAGGTGAGGCGGAAGGGGGTTCGCGATGGTTTGGTGTGTAGCACCGTATGGCAGCTTCCCATGCTGTGGGAGCCGAGCCAAGCCGAGTTAATGAAGCCCGGACATCACCACCATCATTACCAAAAATTCCCGAAGAGAAAAAGAGAAAGGGAAGGGGGAAGAAAAAAAAAAGACACAATACCCTTCTCCTTCGAGACCTTAACAGCCTGCAACCGCCCGCTTGTAAACCCCCTACAACTCCTCACCGATTCATAAAGTATCCAGAGATACAGGTGCCAAGATCCTCGAAATTGGGCCCAAAACAACATTCTTGGGCTTTTCCATGTCCAGACACTTTACGAGCCGGCAACTACCCTCCACTTACACCACCCCGCAACCCCCCCCCCCGGCCCTACAATTCATCCGTCGTCGGCCCGGCCGGAGTATCATTGTACGAGTGCAGTGCTGCACAATACTCACCCTGCCATAATACCGGCAGTCCTATTTCCAACTTGAATGAATCAATGAGGGGAATTCACGCGTTTGAGGCTAGCTAGCCAGCTAGCTCACTAACTGCTCAAGCAGCTATAGCTAGGATCGGATGAGTAGGGATCCATGTACCGTACCCCCACGGAACAGACGGGGTCTGCAGGGAAGAGAAGATGGGACCCCACTGTGAGTTTGGTTTGGTTAAGCGCGGGGCGGCGTGGTTGCGACGGTATGATACGGTACCTGTAGGGGAGAGTAGGGTTGACGGGGTACGGTAGCAGAGGCAAGTACCGGGAGAGCAGAGTTCAACAGATAGAGGAAGGGGGTGATGTGCCGGGCATAGATCTAGTGAGGTGAAGGGGAAGGGGGAGAGAAGGAAAGGGGAAAGCACTGTAGTGTCGGTGTTGGTGGAATAACAACTTTTCTCCTTTCCCTCGCCCCTTACTAGGGAGTGGAATCTCCCATGGCGGTCATTCCTTCTCACTCGAGCGGGCACTCCATTTCGCATTTCGCATTTCGCATTTCACAAATTGCACGACAGAGAGAGAACCGGGGTTTACCTCTATTTTACACAATAACCCGTAGCACAATATCTACAATTATTGGCACCTCCTATAGCTCCCCTTTCCCACGTCCGGACCCAACCTAATCTAATCGCACCTCCCATCAGCCCAGCCAGTCCTCCACCGCTCCTCATACCTCCTACAATCAAACTCATTCTTCCCCAGCTTCCTATTAACTTCGTTATGCGCTCTGCACATCCACTGCCCGAAGCTAGCCCTCCCGCCGAGGTGTCCCCCTTCCTGGCCGGGCACAAGCCTATTCTCCGGGCGCTCGATCCAGTGCTGGAAGTCTTCAGCACACACCCAGCAGGGGTATATCCGTGAGAAGATGTTCATAAAGGTCTTCACCTCGGCCTGCTTTTCCGGGGGCGCGGTGGCGGGGTAGGTAGCGGCTATGGTATGCAGGAGGGTCCACGTTGAGCGGCCGAGGGTTTCGACGTCCGGGGGACAGTCCGGTGGGAGGGAGGTCGCGGCCGCAGGTGTTGTTGAGGGGGGTTCTTTGGATCGAGGGGGGGAGATTTCTTTCCTGGTCATCTCAGCCCAGTCGCGGAAGCTGGTGCATGAGCGGCAGCTAGATTCTAAATGTCAATACCTTTTATAACGCGATTTAGATGCTGTACATCAAGCGGGAGCGGGTGGAAACTCACGGTTTGCCATCCTTGTCCAGCACCACTCCCTTCGGGATCGCCTTCTTCCGCCCGTTGTCCCCCCCTACGCCACCTCTCCTCACGGTCTCGTTCCTCGTCTCGTCGGCCTGGACAGGTAGTTTCTCCGCCATTACCGAGCAGGAGGTATCGTAAAACGAAACAAAAGAAAAAAGAAAGAAGGTGGCGTGGTGTGGTGTGGCGTGTTTGTTTCCTAGTGATATAAAAGCCGGGTAACCCATCCCCTGATCTCCAGACTCATAGGTACCGGGGCTTGGCTTTTGTCACCCCGCAGGAAGGTCCCCGAGGGTCAGACAGCCCTAAAAATCCTTGCCGGACACGAGTGGATGACCGGTACCGGTACTTGTGTACAAGTATGATATCAATGGAAATCGCCGCATCAGCCCACGACAGGCTTAGCCTGGCGTTAACAGAAGAGCGCTAACCCTTCTCGTGCCCTTCTTGTCCCTGAATTCGGAGATTAGAGGCCCGCCGGAGATAGCGAATCGCACGAGTTCTCATCGTGCGATGCGATATCATATCGTATCATACCGGCACTGGACTGGCCTGGGATCCCCAGTTGAAGTGTCCGGGAAAAGTATAGCCATATTTCAGGATACGAGACTCGAACGCTCGTACTTGTTCGTATCACACTGACAGGTAACCCGGAAGGCACGGGGGCGAGCGAGCGAGCGCGCAAAACCTCAGTCAATTACCGTACCGTACGGCAATTCATGATATGTGCTGTATCATACGAGTGCTCAGTCGTCTGAGGCAGGGGCCATTCCACATGCGCAGTACTTGTACAGTACTATACAGTAGAGAGACCATGGTACAAGCGATGCGCCTGCGAATCTCCAATGTCTCGATTTCAGGTAAATTAGGCGCACAGCGTGCATGAAGCGATAACTAATCTTCTCGAAGCTATGAGAATAATGCGACACCGGGGCTCGCCATCCAACACACTATACCACACCGTACGCAACAGGTGTTCCATTCTCATGGCCCCGTGGCTATCATCGCCACTACGCAGTCGCGCCCCACTATCCCGGATAGTCAAAATCCTAAGAACCCGTCCGGGACAGCGAGCTATCCGGGGCAACGGATTAGGTTTTTGTTGCAAAAAAAAAAATCACGATCCACATAAAGTTCCCCTGGGACAACGGGGTGCGACTGTAATCATAATAATAATAAATGAAACAAGCACCAAGAATATTCTATTCTCCTCAGCGACCTAGAACATCGCAAGCCAAATACGGCGGGCTATCGTATCGTATCACCAACCCTCAATCCCGGGAAGCTACAAGCTAAGCTTTCCTCACGCTTTTGTTCAGCTCATATCTGGCCTACCCACCAAGGTTTCTGCATCCTATATACTCGAGTACAACACAACCGTGCGGTTATTTTCACTGCCGGCTTGGGAAAGTAGGAACTGCAGTGAGCACCCATGACGCTTACCTACAGTACAAGCACAATGCTTGTATAGTGCTCTATAGTGCCGTGCTTGGGTTCACAACAGAAGTTAGTCCAATGAGAACAAAGTAGGAGTTTCTTACTCTCCCCCTGTCCATTCATCCACGATGCAAATGTGAAGCACGGTCCTCGCACAGTTGGGTGGAAGTTGGACACAGGAGCGGTCGTAGGTTTATGAGCGAAGAAAGGGCCAAATATATTGAAAATCCCATCCGGTAGCCTGATTGGCCAACTGATAAGTATCTACCGGTATCTCTAGTCTCCGATCCCGACTCAGCCATGGTACCTTAAGCCCTCGGAGTAAAAAAAAAAAAAAGAAGCTTGAGGAACATTGCCTAGGATCTTTCCCAACACGTGGAGGAAGCCCAGACACGTGTGGTGTGAGGTTTGAGAGATTGCTCCAAGAGACTCACATCAAGCTACTTAAAACGAAAACAAAAATTTCCCTTACTCTCTCCTTTTCCTTTTCTGCTTTTTCCGTTTCCTCCCTTGTATATGATCCTCTTTGTTTTTCACCCGATTTTGTCTATTACACCCCCCGGTAAACCGCACGGGTGCCGGCCATGTGAGATGCACTAGCACAGTACCGGTACTCGAGTACTCGAGTACAGGGAGGGGGGTGAGATTTGTTTCGCTCGTACAACCGGTGAGAACCCTCCGATTATTATTCCTTGCGGCCGAGAACCGGCAGGGTGGCCTAACTACCCCGGGCCAAGTAACAAGCAAGCTATGGTGCTAACATCCTTATCTATCAACATCCATTTCTCCCTTCATGATAACGGAAAATAGGGGTTCGCGAAGGCCTCGGAAAACGAACGGATGAGTGAGCAGCAAAGGAGGTGTGAAACAAGAAAAAAAAAAGAGCACAAAGACTATAGTACTCGACAACTTGTAGGCGTAGACACGCCCCAGACCCAGTAACGCCATACTATCTAACTTTCCCGGATTCGCCACCGATAGTACGAGTACCGTACTCATCTCAGGGGAGGAGTCCCCTAACACAAGGTTTAGGAAAATCGGTGCACCCGAGTACTCGAGTACATGGCCAATCACCCGTGCGTATCTGTGCATGCAAACAAAACTGTGCCGTCAGTGTTCGGAAACTTCTTGCCTGGGGTGAGCACTCCACAGTCAAGTAGAATTCAAAGCAAAATTAGATTCCCTTCCTAACTCCAACAACTGCGGAAGAGGGAAAAAAACATCTCCGCACCGGGCGGTCCGTGCCACTTGACTGATTTGCGCTAGGTCTTCTGGGAATAGGCAGTAAGCTGTGAAGTGTTGAATCGGGGCCCTTCGGGATAATCCTAACCTTCGAGCATAATACACGAGGGAGATAGCATAGGAAGCAGCAGAAATTAAATTGCTCGTGCAATATCGGCGGTGGCGATCTCACTACGCACGTACCCCGACCAAACGAGGGGCATGAAACTCAAGAAACTGTCCATCAGTACCCTAGGGACATGATGAGGAATGTGGAGCATCCCGTGATGCAATAAAGTTATTCTGGCCAGCTGGCTGATCTCCGGTTCCCCATTTCCCAGCTCGTCCGGCCTATCACCTATTCAACCTGTGTTCGAGAAGCCGAGCACAGTGAAACATGGCAACTCCCCTAAAACCCACGATATAGTTTCAAACAAAGAGACGCTACCCATTGGCCACTCTACCCACCAATGGCCGGAGTCGCTCAAAACTGGGAAAGGAAAACATTCGGTTAACCTTCAGTTTTATATGGCCACCCACCCCAATTGGCTTACCATCCGGGCCGCATTCCTGCAAGGGCGAATCCCGGTAATTGGGATGCCGATTACACGTGTACAAGTAGACAAGTACCGTACACGAGGATCATGGAATAAAGGTTGCGAGGTTTGGGAAGCCAAGGGGCACGGTGCAGAGGGTATACTGAGAACACACACACAGTGTTGTAGGCATGTCGGCGTCTTGGGGTTCCGATGGAAACACCGGGGGATTTCGTATCCCTGGCTGGCGGGTTTAATTGTCGTCCCGACATCAACGGGTCTAAGCACTATTCCCGGATCTAGCGCTATATTTCCCAGTTCCATATCTCACTTCCACCCTTTCGTTCAACGCTCAGCGAGGCCGCGGGCCGTTTTCCTGAGCAAAGTCTAGGCCCATCGATCCAGCCCTCTGACTCTGATCTGAAGTTCAAAATTTCGGCTGGGATTTCCATGTGGTCAAAGCCTCGGCTTTTCGAAATCACGATTTAGGTATAGCTAGTGAGCCGCGCCTACTGCGTCGTAAAGTAACAGACATACAGTCGGTGGGCATCGTGATGCGGGAATTCGACAAGAAGCCCGAATAACCTGTGGTAAAGGGCTAACCGGGAGACACATGTTAATTCATACACACAAGTCCCTCCACCTATGGCTTAGATTCGCCAGTGAGTTAGTGGCGTCTTTCTTTATCTTAGCCCGTCTGTAGGTCCACTAGTATTTCTCTATGCTTCCGGTAGAGGCATCACTTTGAATCATGAGAAAGCACTCGATATATCTCCTCTGCCAAGGTCCCCTGCACTAGGTACCCCGTCAGCTACTGTTTGTTTCAACTCCCATCGGTCACGTACAGGAGGGGCCCAAGCCAGGGCGGTCAGAAGGATACTCTTATCGCCATCGGGCTAAAGGCAGTTGATCCCCGTCATTTTCGCTTAGGTTTAGCGAGAGTCGGTGGCACGTCGTAATAGCAGGGGGGACTCGGGAAATACATACACGACAGATCAAGCACCGGCTGTATTCCCCCCAGCTCTCTAAGCTCGAAATTTATATCCACCACCACCAATTAGCAAGAAGTTATCTGCGCTGTTTACTTGGCATCGCTTTCCCTCTGCTGTGCTAGCCTATATGAACTAGAACTCATTCCCGTGAGGTAGTAGTCTACTCAGTACGCCCACCACGGGGCAGACAGGGACAGGTGACCCAGAATTTCCAGAGAGGGGAAGTAGCGCATCGTGGGAACGTATGGTACCCCAAAGGACTCCGCAACCCTCGGCCAGGGCTCCAGACATTGCGGGGTCGGAAGAGACTGTGTTTGCCCATGCTTTACCCGACGATCCTCCGGCCTGGGGAATCATCATTAGAATGAACCACCGCCAGCGCGGCAGCGAAACCCAGGAGGTCTCTGTAGCTGGCCCATACAACAGGGTATGGTTATTATTTTTCGCAATGCCTTCCTGCGAATCCAGTTTTTGGCATCTTTCCAAGCGGATGTACTAGGAGTCCTACCGTATTTAGATGACTAATACAAATTTGTTAAGTTGGTCATCGGGTTTCGAATGTGGATGCCGGCATTACATGGTAGGTTGCGGGGTGTATGAATAACTGTTTGGGAAGACCGGCCAAAAACCCTGATCAGATCCACCCCGTTGGGTCCATCATACCGTGCCGGTATTCGCAGGGAATAAAAACTCTCGTGTAGTGATTCGGATGCAGAGAAGGGCGGATAATAGTTCCGCCCCAATAAACATAGCGAGGAAAAGACCCTCTGCTTCCTTGATTCGTAGAGTTTGGGGAATGATCCCAGCGACAGGCAAGAGCATCACCCCTACTGATCTCAAGAGCGGAGCGGTACCAATCGGACCTTTACAAGTAGGCATATGAACGTTAGACAAGTCAGGAGGAGCAACCAAGAAGATTTTTGTGGAGAGAGAGCAGGAAGGACAAGTTACCCCTCGGAGAGG